TTTTTTTTACATTTTTATTGGATCACTCAGAAAACAGTCAGCCAATCAGAAGAGAGGCTCAGAGCCTCCTCTCTTCTTATGGATCAACACTCCAAATAAAACACAGAAGTGTAAACTGACCTTTAAATCAACAACCGATGTTGATTGATGTGCTCATGTACTTTTCCATATTCTTATTTTAAATAAGTCACTAATACTTTTCATATACTCTTTTTTTTGCTTTTTCCTTCTTATGTATTCTTTATTTGTTTACTTACTTGTTTACCCATTTAACACATTTAGTTCATTCATGTGCTTAATTACTGTAATTACTTTCCTGTATATTTATTAAATTTACCCAATTGTTTGCTTATTTGCTTTATTGACCTACTATTATATATCTATTTTCTTTATTTGTTTTCTTACATACGTATTTACTGAGCTACTGATTATTTACTGTTTTATCAATTAACATATCTGTGTTTTCTAGTTGTCGATCAAACATGAGTTCAGTGCTCTGACTGGATTATCAGGATCATCACTTCCTGTATACCACAGACTTTGTTTTCTTCATGAACCAATCAAACAGCAGCTATATAGATCAGTAAAAAGCTGTGAGGTGAAGAATCATGAGTTTGCTGCTGTGATCTCGGTCTGAATGAGGAGTGAGCTGCAGCAGCAGAGATGCTTCACAGCCCACTGCCTCTTCCTGACTGCTTGCTGCCTGGCTCTGCTGTAGATCATTACCAGGCCCATCAGAGCAGCAGGCTGGTGCATGAATAGAGAGGACAGAGAATGGAGAGCGGTCACAGGCCGGGGCACGTCCCCCTTTTATAAAGCACAGGAAGGGAACAGACGCGGGACTGCATGACGACACAAAAGCTGCTAGAAGAAGTCTAAAGAATCCCTCTTTGTTAAAATGCACATACAGGAAGGAACGCAACAAAGAGGAGGAGAAAAGGAGAATCTGGTTTTATGCTCTCCTGCATGTTTCAACTTCACATAAAGCCTCTTAAACCAGCTTCATAATATTTCCTTTAGTGATATGACTTGGCACTAACGTATCTACAGTTCCTCCTCCTCCACAACACAGACTGCCACGTTCTGATAAGAACACAGCTCATTGAAGCTACAACATTAAACCATCTGAACATTTCTCTGCACAAGATTTTGGACCTAGAATAAAAGTACCAATCAACACAAAGCGTCTCCTCCCAGAGTCGAGTTTCACCAAACGTCTGAGAGGATCATCGTCGTCCTCACCTCTGTGACCTCTGAGACACAGGGATAAAGGTCTACCATACATCTCCAGTCTGTGAGCATCTCGTGCAATTAGAAACAAATACAATGAGTCACTGAATATTTGTGTTTGTCGAGTCGAGTGTTTGTCAGGTGTTATGTAACCAGTAATTACTATGACAACATAACAAACTGTATCCAAACTCTTCCACCTCTGGTTCTGGCAGACTGTCTGAATGGACGGCCTTTGCCTGGTTCACAGATAAACATCTCAGCTCACAGAGTCTGTGTAAGGGTCATCTCAGAGGCGGGGAATACAGTAAGATACCCTGTCTTAAGCTGGGAGACTACATCTCTCTGTTCCTGTTAAAGTCCAGGATTACAGGTCTGTCTGAGGCCCACAAAGATCAGAGCCACCATCTTTGTTCAAACTGAAATTAAAATTCATTTAATCAGCACCTACACAGCTCTTTACATGTCTACAGAGTCATTACAGACCAGAAGAGCAAGGAGACCTGCAGCAGATGGTCTGGCCCCCACAGAGCCCTGATCTCAGCATCATGCAGTCGGTCTGCGATCACATGAAGAGACACAGACACTGAGGCACAAGGTGCTGGAACAACCAGGTACCTGAAGAACTGTGCAGGTGTACTGAAGAGAACTGGAGCTGATTTAAAGGCAAAGGAGCGTCACATCAAATACTGATCTGATTTAGGTTTTTACTCTTTACTGCTCTTTGGATAAAGTTGACTCAGAAAAAAGAAACAAAAGAGCTTCTAATACAGACAAAACCAAAAGGAACCAGTAACATCTGTCCTGCCATACTCAATTACCAGCCTGTAGAAGATTCTAAGTACTAGTACTAAAACTCTGACTTTATATGTGAACTCAGAGAGCAATTTTGAAATGGCATACTGGAGCCTGGTTGAAAGCATCTCATCATTAATGAGACTGTTTGGTTCAGAAACTTGAGTATTGAGAGCAAAAACACATTCTAAAAATTGTTAACATTGCAGGGAAGGTGATCGGCAAGTCACAAAAACAGCTTTGCAACATATTTGACAGTGATGTTCACAGAAAGGCTAAGCACATACAGACATCATCCCCTATGCCATACACACACTGAACGCAAAGTGACTGGATCAGGAAACAACATTTATTTATTTATTTTGTCATTTGTTTTGCTGTCTGGTATTTATATAATCTATCTGCTACAGTGGCCCAGATGGGTCAACACAATGCAGAAGCCACAACAAGGACGCAAATGAAAACCACAACGGATGTGAGAGGCGGTCCGTCTACGCTACTGTTGTGGTTTAATTTGCATTCGTCTTGTGGCTTTTGCATTGTGTTGACCCATCTGGGCCACTGTAATCTGCTGCTACCTGCTCATTTTGCACTATTGTAAGTTGCACAGGTTGTATGTTTTTACTGTACTTTGGAGAAATCCAAAGACAAATTTCCACTGAGGTGGATAATAAAGTCAGTCAATCAATCAATCAAAACTATTCAGGGTTATATTTTTAAAGCTTCCTCATTTTACTTTTAAAGCCTAAGACTTTTGCATAGGACTGCCAATCATTAGTATTTGTTTTGACTTGTGGGCACTAAAAATACACCTTGTTATCCACACTTAGCTTAGCCTCTGATTTTAGCTCCACCTACATGACTCAATGTCTCTACACACGATGCTGCACTGTGTCATGCTCTGAGCTGTGACTGTTTGGATGGAGAATTATTATATTAACATGTTCTGAATGCCCACTCTTGTCAACTTCTATTGTGATCTCACATTGTGATAAACACATAATAAAACACAAACACTAACAGGCATCACAGCAGTAATATGAGCAGCTGTGTGGCTGAAATGACCTCATTAGCTCCTGTATGTAAATACAGGTTCTGGCAGTTCCTATAGTACTACAGTCGAAGTGTCTCTGCTGCTGAACCAGAGACGGAAAACAAACAGTAAAAATGTGAGGTAAACATCTCTCTGTCCCAGAACTTCCCTCAGTTAGAACAGACCAAGATCCACATGCTCCAAACCTGTGACCTTCCTGCAGCACATGCAGCTGCTGGTCAGCTTTCCCGGACTCCTCCACAGAGGGGGAGCAGTGGAAAAAAAGGACTGTGGGCCTGAGAGATGCAAGGGAGGGGGGGGGGCGCATGCAGGGACAAGGGCTTAGGTGGGGGGACTGGGAGCCTCTGCCTCCATGATCTCCCTGTTGTCAAGGGGAGGGGAAAGGGGAGTTGCTGTGGCTCACAGCTTAATTACCTCGAGCAACAATAAGTATCTCATTTGTGATGGCAGGAGGACAGAGGGAGGCTGAGTCTCTGGGAGGAGGAGTTACAGATTCTGTGATTGCTCAGCTCAGGACTCATCACTTCACAAAGGTGGAAAAGTCCGGTGCTGCAGATGAATGAAGCCTGTTCCTGGTGCATGATTGGACACTTAGACACCGTCTAACTCTGCAGAGACATTGTTACAGCTGGAAGATTTTCCTCATGGTCTTTACAGGGAGTTGATTCTGACCATAGGTGAAGAAATAATATGAAAAAGTTCTACTGACACAATAAAGGACAGACACAGAGGACATGTGGAATGACTGTGACTGGTGAGGACCTGGAGTCAAACCTGCCACAAGGGCAAGGGATATAAGGAAACAGACGAGAGGAGGTGAGTTTACAGTTTTACTTCTGTTTGTCTTTAAGCAGTTTTTAGGGTGTTAGAATCTGCCAGTATGGTATATAAAGTGTTTTATATTCCTCTTTATTTAAGCCACATCATGACTACACTGAGTCAAACATTTGAACCTAAACTTAGTATTCTTGTGCATCATTTTTCTGCATCACAGATTTGATATCGCTGCACAGCATGACTTTCTTCTGACTGACGTACTGGTGTGTTGCTGGGCTTTAAGGGGTTAAAAGTGACTGTTTGACTGGTCGTCTTATAGTAAAGAGCTGAGAGACTTCACATAAATACATACATACATAAATTATACATATTTTTATTATTATACATATTAATTATAATACATAAATCAGTTTTTTTATGTAGTATTTTTGTGCAGCTGGCTGTGACACTGGTGTGGACCAGCTCAGTCGACGAGGACATTCTTTTCTAATAATTAATAATAATGAAATGATGTTGTTCTGGAACATTGTTAGCATAGATTTGGGTTTATTATATTTTTATTTTTTTCTAATTTCAGAACATGACAAGTTTGGTCTGTGTCTTTTTACACATGACTCATTATATGCACGTGACTCATTAACAATAATCCATGAGGAAAATCCATCCACTCCTTTCCTTTAAGACAAGATTTCATATTAAAGGCTCAGCACTGATCCTGTTTTGATTGACACTACTTGCAATGCAGCTAAAACTGTAATTAGGTAGAATTAGGTAGACTTGATGCTGCTTTACTGGTGAACAAATCATGGTTACACATAAATATATATAGCAAACAGTAAACTGATCCAGTTTCTGCAAAGCAGTGGACAGCTCCATGCTCCGCCCCCTTGGAAACTTTTAGTCCAGCCATGATCTGACTCTGAGAAAGCCCCTCTCCTCTCCTACAATTTGATCTTCTGGAAACTTGAGGCACAGTCTTATTTATAACAGGTGAGCACTTGCTGTAAGTTGAGTAACCTGAACGAGCCTCTGTTGAGTAAATCAGATCCACCTGAGTGTCACCTGAACGCTGCGATGGAGGAGATACAACTCGAGAAAAAAAGCTTTTGTACAAAGGAGTTCAGTTGGTCAATGTAGCAATTTGCTTCAGTTTGATAACTGAACTAGAATCAGAGCTGACTCTTAAATATTTCTCCTTTATTTTACCCGACATAACTCTTGTGTTTTTAAATGTTAGTGAAAATATTAGAGATTTTCAGTGTGGTTTATGACCCCACTGTATGTAGCCTTTAGGTCTGACGAATTAGCTGAATTTATTTCCTTCCTCATAAAACATTCACAAAAGATTTAAAGTATTTTAAATCTTGCATTGTTTTCATGCAGGGCTGTTGCAGGCCCTCTTCCTCTTCTCTGTATTTGTTGGTGCATTACTGTGTTTCCTGAAGATCAGTGGAACAGAGTCAAACTCTTGGCAGGACTGTGTATGACGTCGTCCACGAGAGCGTTGATGAGACAAACAAAAAGCCAAGACCATAACACTACATAAGGTCAAAAATGCCACAGGGAGAAAAGCTTCAGGGATATGTAGTGTAATAGTAACACACCCTGATATGTCTGTTTCCTAAATCATTTCTTGACATGATGAAATGATTGACCAAAGACTGAATAACCCGCTTCAGCTGAACCATCAGCAGCGTGCTGAGGTATCAGTTAGACACTAATGACAGAATAAAACTGCAATAATCTCAGCAGTGCAATCTAAGCAGTTGCTTCTTCATTAGTCAGCTGACACTTAAACCAGATCTGCTGAATGAGGAGAGCCGGGTGTCTCCGCCCCCCCTGGGCTCTACACAGGCCTGTCATGCCTTTGTGTGCAGACGCTGACGTGCGTTCATGGCGCAGACGAGTCTCAGCCACCAGCAACTGCTCCTGCTGTGTGTGCATTGTGTGTGGCGGAGAGCAAGTGAGTGCCAGAAAGTGACACAGTGACACAGACAGAGAGAGGGAAGCGGGAGGCGAGGAGGGATAAAGACGCGTGACTAATTGATTTATCACCTCTGTGGCTGCTGAATGATCCTGACGTCTACGGCAGAGGGCGGCGTTTGTTCTCTGTGTGGTCGTATACGCGTCTGCTGACACCTTTCAGAAGTTTGCCTGACAGATGGTGACCTGTGTCTGCTGCTCTGGACTGCTTTTATGGGATCATGCTGCATTTCCCAGTGACCAGAGACCTAAGAGACACACAGACAGACTGCAGCTAGAGACAGGACACTGTCATCCCTGCAGAGCCGGGCAGTCTCTGGTTTGATGGTTTGTTCGCTGCTCGCACATCTAGCCATGTAAAGACCACTGATAAACACACACACACACACACACGCAAGTGAATAATGGTAAACATGTGCTTGAGCACACACTGCTGCACTCAATCTCTTCTCGAAACAACTTTTGACAAAAAAAATTAAGTCATTTTTGTGTTGGTGTTACACGCAGCAAAGACTAAGCTTTTGCTCAAAATTGCATAAAAGACAAATGAAATGACATCGTGTTTACTGAGGTCAATCAGATGATGATGAAGTGATCCTTGAATATCTCTGTGAACTAAAAGCAGCAGAGATAAGAGGCTAAATGACCAGTTTACCTTCAAGCAGGTCAACCACTGAACTGAGCCTTAAAAAAGTCTTTTGCAGTTGGGATGAGGGTCAGCACCTCCAAGGATTGCTCTCTTCAGGTTGGGATGGAGTTTCTGGTCCAAGTGGAGGCGTTTCAGTATCTTGGGGTCTTGTTCACAAGTGAGGGTAGGATGGAGCGAGATCTTTGCAGCATCAGCAGTAAAGCTGGCGTTGTACCGGAGCTTGAAGAGGGAGCTGAGCCAGATGCCAAAGCTCTCGATCTACTCGCTACTTCCGACAGTCACCTGTGGTCATGAGCTCTGGGTAGTGACCAAAAGACTGAGACTGCAGATACAAGCAGCTGATATGAGTTTCCTCTGCAGAGTGTCTAGGCTCAGAGTACAGCCGCTGCTGCTTCCAGTTGACAGGAGCCAGTTGAGGTGGTTTGGGCATCTGGTTAGGATGTCTCCTGATTGCCCTGCATTGGAGGTCTTCCAACAAGCCCTTCCGACTGATAGGAGGCCTCAGGGTTGACCAGAACACACTGGGGAGATTATGTATCTTGTGTGGCCTGAGAACACCTCAGGATCCCCCAGGAGGAGGTGGAAAACAATGCTGGGGAGAAAGACATGGATTGGTGGATGGATGAATGGATGGATGGATTGATTGAGTAGGTGAATAGAGAATTGTCCAAATGCAACTCATTTCATTATCAATCAATTTGGTGATCATTTTCATAATTGACTCATCGATGAAATATCAAAAAATGATAAATGTGTATCACAATTTCCCACAGTCCAAAGTGACGTCTTCAGTGTCCTGTTTTGTTTGGCTGTCAGGATTATATCTCAAAGAGATTCAGTTTACAATGTCATTAAACAGAGAAAGGGAACTGAAGTGATTAATCGATTGTCATAATAAATTTTGATTAGTTTTTGGCTGACTTGATTAATCAACTGATCGTTTAAGCTCCAGTCCACTTGCAGCCCAAAATTTATGACGGACCGCATATCTGCTTATGTGTAAACACGTCGGCAAACACAAACACCCACAGCTGTATAAACAGAACAATATGCATCAGTGTTCAGGGAGAGCTGCAGACATGGGGAGAAAGGTTCTTCTGAATGTTTTTTGGTTATTTGTTTACTGTGGTTCGTATCAGTCAGTAACACAGACTGTGGATCACAATAGACTATAAGCTATGGAGGAGGGATGAGTCTAAAAAATGTATTACTGCTCACATGTTGAACTCATGGTCCACTTCTGTGAGTCATGAATTTGACTTACGATCTTTCAACGTGAGAAAAACCTCAATTAGACACTGACAGACCCCCACTGTATGATGGGAAAATGGATGAAGTCCAGGCTGGACCGGTCGGGCTCAGGCAGGAGTTGGCAGAGTATGTTATGATGTAGAAACGACCATCTCCAACAACAGAAGATAACACTCGTATTGTCAGGGGAAATTCTCCTTTGTGTTTTTTTGTTATTGAACATTCCGATGCTGTGATGCATTTTTTATCCCAAGACCAAGAGAAACATCAAAACACAGCATGCCACTACACAAACTCTGAGCCAAGACCGGACACGAGTTCTCTTCGTCATATATTTTAGAGCAGAGGAGAAATGTTTCTGTTGTAAGGGATCAAGTAAAGTCCACTGAGCCGTACATTTCATTGTGTGGTGTCTGCTGTTCATTTCTCATCTCCTGTAGTTCACCAATGATAGTAACATGGAGCTCTCAAACTTGGCAGCGATCAAAAAAGCGTGCAGACATGAAAACACTTCAATTGTTTTGATAAACACGCATGCAGCAAAAGCCAAGTCGTGGTCAGAAGTTAATCTTCAGTTCTTCTTCTAAGAGTTTTTACTGTCATTGTTTCAATAGCTTATAGATATAGACTTGCCATCTTGTGGTTGTATGTCTCCACCAACCAGCCAAGTATCAGGAAATATGGTCACAGTCTCTCCTTCCTGAGTTACAGTGTTGAATAATGGCCAGAAGGGTTTTCGCAGAACATTATGATGTCACAGTGAAGTTGACCTTTTGGATATATCACTTCATTTTATCCGTATAGACATTTTAGTTAAATTGTGTCATTGATTCATGTTTTTTGTGAGGTCACAGTGACCTTAACCTTTGACCTCCAAAATCTAATCAGTTCATCTTTGAGTCCAAGTGGACATTTGTGCCAAATTTGAAGAAAATACCTCATTGAGATGTCACATTCACGAGAATGGGACGGATGGACGAAGTGAAAACATAATGCCTCCAGAGGCATAAAAACCTTAAGAATCAAGTAGAGAAACACAACATATGAGGATGATTGGAGTGACCATCATCAAAACACAGAAGAATTCTGTTCACTCATCAAGTAGAATTCCACACAGTTGGAGAATCTATCAGGCAGCACAGAAGCTGTTGCTGTGTGTCAAATCGTCTCAAACATTGCCGTTGTACACTCACTGGAAACATGTGACCACGACTGTCGCCCTACCAAAATATCTGCCATTTGCTTTGCTCACTCAACTCGAAAATGAACATTTTACTTTCCTGTGTGCACCCCTTGTGTCATGCAACACGGAAATCGACACCATCAAAGTGTCCTCGTCACCAATGTGACCATTTTGAGTGAACCATCCAGGTACTTACAGTGCACTGCATGTTTCTGTACTTGCCAAGAGAAGAGCTGCTGCTCCTTCCCCTCCAAAGTAACCAGTTGAGGCCGTTTGGCCATCTGATTAGGATGCCTCCTGGGCACCTTCCTTTGGAGGTTCTCCAGGCACATACAACTGGGAGGAGACCCCTGGGTAGACCCAGAACTTGCTGGAGGGATTACATATCCTACCTGGCCTGGGAACACCTCGGGATCCCCCAGGAGGAGCTGGAGAGCGATCCTGGAGAGACAGATAGCTTAGCCTGCTGCCACCACGAGCTGACCCCGGATAAGCGGAAGAAAATGGATGGATGGGTGGGTGGAGTAGGTGAATAAAGAATTGTACAAATGCAAATGTGCAGATGGGTGTAGAGTCTGAAGTCTCATGGCAACGGAGTGGATGATGTCACAGGTGGTTGCTGGGATAGCATGAGAGGGGACATTACAGCAAAAACTATGCAATATGCAGGTAATACTGGCTTTAGTAACATGTGTCTTCCATTAATGATGTGAGAGAATGAATATTAACTGATCCTCTCTTCCCTCTCTGTTTCAGGTATTATGCTGGTTCGGGTGCAGCAGGACTGTGCTATGATTCTCCCTGTCGTGGTTTTGCTGGTGCTCCTGCTGCTCTCTGGACCAGAGTCCTCTCTCCAGGGAGACACCCAGGAAATCGGGAACAGTGATGAGATCCCAGAGGGAGAGTTCATCTACGCACCAAAACGGCAGAAACGTGCCGTGGTGGACTACAGTGCCCATCAGACGGACAAATGCTCTTACACCTTTATTGTCCCTCAGCAGAAAAACACTGGGGCCATCTGTGTGAACTCCAAGGAGCCCGAGGCCTTGCTGGAGAATCGGGTCAACAAGCAGGAGCTGGAGCTGCTCAACAGTGAGCTACAGAAGCAGAGGCTGCAGATCGAAGCGCTGCAGCAGCTAGTCGAGGTCGATGGAGGTGTGATCAATGAAGTCAAGCTACTGCGCAAAGAGAGCCGGAACATGAACTCCAGAGTCACACAGCTCTACATGCAGCTGCTGCACGAGATCATTCGCAAACGAGACAATGCTCTGGAGGTGTCACAGCTGGAGACCCGCGTGCTGAACCACACAAACGAGATGGGGAGGCTAGCCACGCGCTACCGTGATCTGGAACATAAGTACCAGCATCTGTCAGCGATCGCCAGCAACCAGAGCGCTCTCCTGGTGCATCTGGAGGAGCAATGTAAGCGGGGAGGATACTCGTACGGCAGCGTGGTGCAGGAGAGGAGCCGTCCTGTCCGTCCACAGCCTCGTGTGATCCCTCAGCCTCCTCTGCAGAGACCTGTACTCTCTCCCGGAGGCTACAGACCCTACCATCCACCTACCTACACCCGCCACATCAGCAACCCCATGACCAATGAGATACAGAGTGACCAGAACTCCAAAGCCCTACCACCTCCGCTGCCCACAATGCCGAGTGGTACATACAGCTTCACGAACAAGCCCTCAGGTGAGTAGCTGCCTACACCGGATTTCATTTAACACTGGCCACACATTTTCCAATGAGGGAAAACGTTTCCTCTACATCAGTGGTCGGCAACTGATGGCTCACAGGCCAAAACTGGCATGCCAGCAAAAATATCTGGCCCCACAGATTATTTTGATAATTTGATTTCTTTTTTATCTGAAAATATGGGACTGACAGTCCCACATGTAGTTATAATCTCCACGTAGAGAATCTAACCCCACTCGAAGAGACTTATTATACTTTTATCTATGTTGAGAGTGAATGACAGACACAAACATTCAGGCTGCACTGTAGTCAGTGCACAGAGCAGGGTGCTTAAATAGATCTGTCATGGCAGCAACAGATACCCACAGAATCAGCGATCTTTAGCAATTTTGCCTACAAAATTAAAGCACAAGAATTTTTTTTTTTTTCAGTAATGCCTTATTTCAAGCTATTGTTAGTTTTATTCTGAAAAGTTCTGACAGGAAGTTCCAAAGGTTCTGTTGCTTGATGGCAGACATCTGAAATAGCAGAAATCAGTCTGTATGACATGTGACTGTGGTTCACAGTGTATCAAAGTAAATTACACTCGCATTTTTATCAACCAATTTCTTAATTTAGTCTTTGATCATGATCTGGCTGCCGTCTAATGGCCACAAAAAATTGGCCTGAGGTCAAACTTAGTTGCTGACCCCTGCTCCACACATTACTGTAGCTCCAAATGTTATCCAAGACTGAATAATGCGCTTATAATATGACTTCAGTAGTTTATGGTGACTAGTTTACAAGAATGCAAGCTTAACTTATAACCATGTGTCTCTATCTGCTCCACCTTCAAGAGACCTTGGAGATTCTGCCTAAAGCAGCACAGAAGAAGTTCTAGTAGAATGGCAGAATGTGTATAACGTGTATATGTGTCCCTGTACATGTGCAGAGGACAAAAACAACAAGAAGCCACGGGGCAACTAGAGTTCAATAACTCCACAGAGAACCTTAAACTAAGCTGAAAAGTTAGCCAGCTCTACAACATCAAGAGCTGCTTCACCCAGAAACACATTCCACTTTTCATTTGAAGCAGCTTCTGTTTTAGAAAGTGGGAGCTTGATGAAGGGTCTTGCATTGACTGTAAGGACACAGGTTAGAATCAGTTTCTTCTGATTTGACTGAAAATACACACCAAGGCTCAGTTCAGACCTGGTCAGACCTGTTCAGACCTGGTATTTACATCTGTCTCAGGTGATCAGATCACAACTGGTCAGCTCTAAGTTCAGGTGTGAACGCACCCAAGACGCATTGAGGACGCATTTGAGATCCGATCACTAAGACCACATTCAGAGGTGGTCTGGGCCACATGGGTCCACGTTCTTTTAGCAGTGTGTGTCCTGGACCACATTGACAGACCAACGACTCTACTGACGTCACCTGACACAGTCTGATTAGTCCCAACACAGTTAAATCATGAACGGAAAATATTTTACTGTTTTAAATGGATAACACCCGATTTCACTTTAGAGCTGTGAACAGAGCAATGATTCACTGAGGCCCTCCATACCGCTCTCTCTCTCTCTCTCCCTCTCTATCACTCCCACGCACACACACACACACACAAGCATGGTGACGACGGACCCCTCTGTCGATTGGCTAAAAACAACAACGCATACCTGTTTATTTGCATATAAAGCAGGAAGTGAGATCTAATCAAAAGTGGTCACTGGTGACTCATCTTAAAGCCAGGTGTGAACTGACGAACTTAGAGCTGACCACTTGTGATCGGATCACTGAAGACGCATGTTAATGCCAGGTCTTATGATCATCTTGTGATGATTGTGGAAAGAAAGTGCACGTGGCAGACATTTCAGAAGAAGAAAAAAAAAAGGCCATACAAGGAGGGGTCAGATGGAAATACAGCATACAGGAAAATATTACAGCCTTGGTCAGATGCTTTTGGGTGAAGTGGTTCTTAAACAGTCTTCTAAATTTAAGGTACATCACTTAATTTGGAAAACACATCCAGTCTTCAGCCTCCTTCAAGTCCTTCACATTTTGTTATGCTGCAGTCTTAAGATAAAATCATTTAAACTATATCATTTGACTGACCATTGCTATTACAGATGGGTTTTACCAAGCTACAGTTGTAGGTTGGCCTGACAGTGAGTCACTCAGAAAACTGGCAGCCAATCAGAAGAGAGGCTCTGAGCATCTTGTGTCAACTTATGTTTAAGGAAACTCGAACTTTGATAACTGTGATTTTTCACAATTTTCGGACATTTTATAAAGTGATCTAACCAATTAATTGAGAAAATATTTGCAAAATAAGTCAATAATGAAAATCATAATGTCCCCTTGGATCGTGATTGGACCAAGCTTGTTGAAAGATTTATTAATTTAGTTTTCAAGATATTGACCGATAAACTTGACAAGAGGCAGGGCTTAACAGGAAATTGGCCAAAACTCATTAACGATATGTCCAATCATCATAAATCTAGGAAGATATGTTCAGTCCATGTTTTAGAATAAGCCTACCAAGGCATTTCAAGCCTGACCCAAAGGGGGCACCACAAATACCCAAACGTGTACCTCAAAACCTATCAATCCTGATTCAACTCACTGGAGACATCCTGAGAATCCTGAGAGTTTCATTCAAATCCAATAATAGCATTTCAGTGAAAATGAATGGCGGTCATGAAGGCCTTTTTTTGTTCAACATGCAATACACAGCTGTGCCTCTCCTGCAGGTCCTTTCAAAGACTGTCTGGAGGCTGTGGAGGCCGGATACACCACCAGCGACATGTATCTCCTAAAACCAGACAATGGAAACAGACTCATGCAGGTTTGGTGTGACCAGAGACACGACCCTGGTGGCTGGACTGTGATTCAGAGGCGTCAGGATGGCTCCGTCAACTTCTTTAGGAACTGGGAGACGTACAAGGTAATACTGAATATCTTAGCTTAAAATTATATGGTTCTACAGTATGTGGCTGCGAGATAGTTCTGAGATATTGAGCTGCAAAGATGTCAGCATCCATTGCATTAGATGGAGATGGAGTGTTGAAGGTTCAGAATCATTCTTTTAAACAGGTCTATAGCCAGCTAACACATACAAAGACTAAATACTAAAATGTTATAATGACGACCATGTTCATCATGCTGGTTGACCACGTGATTTCAACTGTGAATTATCTGTAATTCTTCTATAAATTTTGTTAAGGAATCCAATCAAAACAAATTTTACATTAATTTAAAAGGTTAGTAAGTGAGTTCCAAAGTTAAGAATGAATGTTTCAAGACCTTGTTTAAATGAGGATCCAAAGTGGAGTCTAAAATCACTCCGCTCTGCATAACCGGGGCAATGGTAACTGTATATAAAAATAATAGAACAGTGATATAAATCTTCTTGGACGAATGCCAGTTAATACCAAGCATGTGGTACATATGCTGATAAAATACTGTTCTCCAATCAAATATGAGCCTGTGAGATTCAACTGTTACTTACATCTGTCAATTAAAATGTCAGCTGTCAAACGTTACATTGGCTTATTGTCATTGAGTCACTTCAGAGTAACAGGCAAATTATTGGGAAAAACTAACAAAGTGTCTCAGCGGTGTTGGACCACCACAGCACACCAGAACAGCTACAGTTCCTTGTCTCTGAACTCCACTGGAGGATGAACACCATTCTTCCAGAAGATATTCCCTCATCTGGTGTTTTGATGATGGTGGTGGTGAGCGTGGTCTGATATGTCACTCCAAAATCTCCCATAGGTGTTCAACTGGTTTGAGACTGTGAAGGTCACAGCATAAGATTCACATAATTTTCATTCTAATCAAATCATCACTGATACCTTGTGCTCTACGGATGGGGGCAGTGTCGTCCTGTTTCTCCACTTATTTTTCAGGTTTTCCTTGTATTTTCTCACCATCTGTAGCTCAGTAATCAGAGTGGAACGCTTCTAACATGCTACTGTTGTTTAGATCATTCTCAAGCTCAAGTTTGTTAGATTAAGTGAAGTCCATCGTTGTAGATGTACTAATAAGGCCAACATCCCATTAACACCAGCCGTAGCATATCAGCAGCAGCTGCAGTCCTCCATAACCACCACACACCATGCATTCAGCCACAGAACTGCTTCAGGTGTTTTCAAGAACTCAATACTCAGTGTAGTTGCATGTAGTGTGCATTAGTTGGAGGAAAATATGCTTTCAGTTGCAGCTACATGGGTGAAGTATGAGCCTGTGTAGACAGCTGTACTGATTCAAACTTGAGTTTATCTGTTTAGACCGACCCCCCCCCCACAGTCTTTAAGCCTTTCAGTGGTTTAGTAGCTGCTACCTTGCAGGTTGACTAGTCATGAATGGTGGTTGTCACTTCCAGTCTACCTTCAGTTCCACTTACATCTGCTGCTGTCTGTTTTGTCTTACAGGGTTTCTTATTTCAGTCTTTATTAAAGCTGCGATGTGACATTGGCATTTTTGTTGACATTCTGAGCTAAATTGAAATCTGGTACTGCAAAACTTATCAAAATCCTTGTCATTATAGTTAAGTATTAAGCAACTACAGCTCCAGTAGGTTGTGCATCCTCCTTTGTGGAAAACAACAACACACAACTGACAATGCAATTAGCTTAAGGGTGAAGGGTGGGATTTTATAACACACATTATTATGAAATACTGGTAGAAAAATGGAATTTGTACAAACAGAACTTGAAAAAGAAAAATGCCATGATTATATATATATATATATGTATATATATAAAGACCTAATACAGTTATAATACAGTTATACCTGTGATAAAACAATTAATGTGTCATTTAATGTGTCATTTAGCTCCCACAGCTGAAATCTGTCTTTAACAAAACAAACTGTTTGGCCAACCCGGCTCATTGTGTAACATGCAAGTAATCATAAGAAAACTCAACAGAATAAAATCTGTGAGATCAGCAGAGCTGAAATCAATTCGAATGACCTAAACATGCTCTCAGTGCTGCAGCCAGCGCAGTGATCCGAGCACTTCAGAACCATGCTATGTTTCCTTTTGACTACTGGTGGAACCCAACTTTACATAAATTCAGATTCAATCATTCTGTGGCCTAAAGTGGGGACTTCCCAATCTGGACACTCTTCTCAATACTTTAAACTCAACAAAAAACTTCCAAGTTGTCCCCCGACCCAATCATTCTCCAACCCACCCTCAATGACTCAACAGGGCATTTTAAGCCAATTATACGCTCACATTTGGCAGGCATGAGGACTTCCTGCTGATTGAACCCATGTGTTAAATAATTGAAGCCAGGGATTCAGACGCACAGTGAGGTCTGCTGGATAGGATGTTAAACACGTCCTGCCATTATGCCACTGCTCTTGGCCTCTCGTTTTGACATCATACCAGTGTTGCACAGATGCTTGGAAAACATGGGTGGATTCTTGCTGAGGTCCACAGTTATGACCAAGGGGAGAGAAAAAAAGATTCTTTCTTGTAAATCTTAAAATAAGAGAATGGCTGAGGCATTTCCGATTAAAGCATGTGTTGGGAAGAGTATGGGTGGATTATTCTTGACTCAAATGTCTCTTTTTACAGCAAGGGTTTGGAAACATTGATGGTGAATACTGGTTAGGCCTCGAGAACATCTACTGGCTGACAAACCAGGGCACCTACAAGCTGCTGGTGACCCTGGAAGACTGGACTGGACGGAAGACCTTTGCAGAGTATGCAAGCTTCCGTGTCGAGTCAGAGGCTGACTCCTACAGGCTGCGGGTGGGCCAGTACCATGGCAACGCTGGAGATTCTCTCACCTGGCACAACAGCAAGCAGTTTACCACACTGGACAAAGACCATGATGTCTACACAGGTGGGTGGAATGTAGTGCAAGAGAAGGCAGTGACAACTTAAACTCACTTCCATGACCTACAAACATTTTGGCACCTGATTCAATACAATACATTTAAGCAAAAATCACACGAGAGAGACTGACGTTGTACCGAATATCAGCACGGCTGTGATTCAGTCATAGGTACAAGGACGCAAGTGTGATATTGCATTTATACAACAGTTCTATGAGCGCCATATCAGTAAAATAAGCAACAACAGATTATGATTTGTTTGTTTACTTCATTATTTATTTGGCAACGCCAACACAAATAGTTCTGCAATTGGACTGGTACTGAACTGTTGCTAAGCAACACAAACATTTTCCTGACCTGCACAGTGCAGTCTCTCATCAAATACAATTTCTTGGTCGGAACTAACTGCTGTATGTGTTGCAGATTTAAATGGGTCGAATTTACATTCTTGCCCATCAATCTACCCTCAATAATCCACAATGACAAAGTGAAAATATGTTTTTAGACATTTTAGCAAATTCATTAAAAATGAAAAACTGAAATCTCTCATTTACAAAAGTCTTCAGACACTTAATCCAGTTCTTTGTTGAAGCCCATTTGGCTGCAGTTAAAGCTTCCAGTCTTCTTGGGTGAGTCTCTACAAACTTTCCACACCTGGATTTGGACAGTTTCTCTCATTCTTCCTGACAGATCCTCTCAGACTCTGTCAGATTGGATGTGAAGAGTCTGAAAAGTTATCTTCAGTTCTCTCCATGAATGTTCTGTGGGGTTTAAGTCCGGACTTTGGTTGGGCCTCTCAGGGACACTCAGAGACACTCCAGCATTGTGTTGACTGTTTGCTTCAGGTCATTGTTGCACTGAAAGGTTAAAAGTTTCCTCAGTCTCAGGTCCTGTGCACTCTAGATCATATTTTCTTTAAGGACTGCTCTGTATTTGGCTGTATTCATCCTTCTCTCAGTTCTGACCAGCATGATGCTGTCCCCACCTTGCTTCACTGTAGGGATGGTATTATCAAGGTGATGAGCAGTGCCCAACGGTTCCTCTAACAGAGCTTCAGAAGTCCTCTGCAGAGATGGAGAACCTGCTGGCAGGACTCAGCAGATCTTCATCAATCAGGTCTTTATGGTAGCGTGACAAACAGCATTTAAAGACACTGACAGCAGGAGGAAAAACACTCTCTGGTCTGATGAGATGAGAGTTCTGTGGGCAGAACCTAAACTTCAAACACCATTTCTGGTTCTTGGTCTCCTCCCTGACCAAGGCCCTTCCTGGTTAGACACTCAGTTTGGCTGGACGGCCAACAAGGAAAAATCCTGGTGGTTCCAAATTTCTTCCATTTCAAAGTTATTGAGGCCACTGTTCTTCTGGGAACACACTTTAGAAATGGTTTTAAATTCTTTCTCTGTTCTATGCTTTGCCACAGTTTTATCACTGAGGTCTACAGAGTTTCTTGGACTTTGTGGTTTTTGTCCTTACATTTAGCGTGAACTGTGTGACCTTATATACACATGTGAGCCTTTCTAAACTATGTACAATCAATTCAGTTTGCCTCAGGTGGAATCTAGTCAAGTTGTAGATACAGATCAAAGATGATTAAAGCAAACAGGAAGCAGCTGACAACAGTTTGGAGTTACAACAAAGAGTCTGAATACTTTAGTAAATGAGAGATCTCAGTTTATTTTATTTCATCAGGCTTAAAATAAATCTACAACCACCAGTGAGTTTTCTCAAAGCAAAGACATATCTGGAGTTATTAAATATTGCTGTATGTCGGAGCTACACTACTCAAGAGACAACACGGGTCAGGATTCATCAGTCATAGCTCAGCAGATCACAGGGACTTCGGCCAGTGTCTCCAAGGGCAATTAATAGTGTTTGAAGGAGTTTGAAATTCAGAGAAATGGTCTGAGTTTGTTGTAGCCACAGTTGTTCTGTTTGAAATTCCCATCAGTTTAACATATAATCACAAATCTAAAAACCTGTATGTCATACTTGGTTTGTGCTTCTTGTCATTCTGGTTTTGAAAAGTAATGCTCATTATTGTTAATTGCACTGGAAAAAATGGCTCTGCAATTAAGCAGGTTCTATTTGGCAATCAATAAACCAACTCACAAATATTCAATGATTGCTCATGAGTCTGAGAGTTTTCCCTTATGATTGAGGACATGCACGCAGAAAATAAATATTTGGATTTTGGAGATTTAGATTTGGCAAGCAAGTCACCCAGGTATCTGGTGACTTTTAATGATGTGAATGTGTAACCCATAAAATAAACGCGTGAAGATGGGTAACTTCTCCAGTGGTTGTTATATTACAGAAGCACTGTATTAATGAGGTAAGGCCTCCTGAATGCTTCCTGCGTAAGGCTTCACACACCATAAACATCTGCAAGTGTGTAACAGAGGCCCACCTGCAGAACCTAGTGCATGCCTGCTGACTGCATGCAGCTTATTGGTCTGCAGGACACCCAGCCCGATCACTTCCGGTTCCACCGCCCCCTATCCATTCACAACACGCCAGTAATCAGATAATGAAGGTACAAGAAGAAGAACGACGAGTAGAAAACAGCACACATACTGTACAACTGTGACAAACAGCCACCGTGAAAGTTGTGTCATACCAGCTGGTCTGATTCGATTCTTTGTGTCTCCAGGTAACTGTGCCCACTACCAGAAGGGAGGATGGTGGTACAATGCCTGCGCTCACTCCAACCTGAACGGTGTGTGGTATCGCGGTGGACATTACCGCAGCCGCTACCAGGACGGGGTGTACTGGGCCGAGTTCAGAGGAGGAGCTTATTCTCTGAAGAAAGTGACCATGATGATAAGACCCAGTGCAAACACCTTCCACTAACACTTAAGTCATTCAGAACTGAACAGACAGTTTCTTCCAAAGGGATTTCATTTCATTTCAGTATCACAACTTCCTCCTGTTCTTTTTCCTGTTGGTTGCTTCACATTCATAAAATAGCTTCCAAATGCTTGTTTTTTATTTTATTCCTCTTCCAGTAATAGATTTTACTTATCTAGTTAGGCTCATAAATCAACATTACACATAAATCAACAAAAGTACACACAAACAGACATTAAGTGGTTGTAATATCTCATCTGTGCTCTGGTTTGGCTTTTGTTGGTTTGTTGAAACACAATATAAAACTGTAACTTTAATTTTATATCTCTGTAAAATAGTAACATAAAATTGACTGCTGGCAATAAACTGATATGTCAGATTATTATTGGTGCTTATATTACATGTGTATTATGTATGTATGGGATTCTACAGGAAAGAAAGCTGGTTATTTATTTTGATATCATTTTCTAGAAGATTTCAGTAAATCTGTCTCATTAGTCGAGTTATTTCCTCTTTATTTCATCTAATATCTTGATTTGACATTAGTAAGTAAAACAATGGATTTTCTGACAGAATGTGAACAAAGTTCAACAGGTCAGCTTTTCTCACTAAATACACCATGCATGATTCTTGAACTGAACTGTGTATGTGGATTTTAATGAGTCTATAATGACTAATGTGTCTTGTTTGTGAGATATGAAGTAGCAAGATGGGACCACTGTTAAATTAAGGATCAGTTTGGTACCAACTTTACATACAACAGTTTTATGCTCATAAAAGGTATCCACATTTCAAATTGACTTTATTTCTAGTATGAAACCATAACAGGATGTTAAAACTCTCCCATGGAAGCTTATTTGGTTGTTAAGTTAGGACATGTTTAACCTAGTATATAGCATACTGACTGGAATCAGGGGAAAACAGGTAAAAATACAAAAATACACCTTCCAATACGTCTCAACCTCACTGAGGAGCTATTTGTAAGGTTTGCTATTGCTACATAGCTAACATTAGCATTAGCAGCTGTTTACTTACCAGTCTAGAAGAGATGTGAGTTCAGCATCAAACTTAATTCCTTTACTCACCAACAGCTGTCTCCATCACGTCTTTTCTTCTACTGAAGTTAGCATGCTAACTAGCTAGCCCGGCCCATCTCTTCACTTTCTGATAGCGACTCACTGTAGCCTCCATTCCACGTTCAGCAGCAGAACAAAACTTACAAATAGCCCCTCCATAAAAAGAAACATAAACTCTGGAGGTTGAGGTTTTAAGGGGAGTTATGTGCTGGAACTATTTCTTAGAAACCAACATCAGAGGGCAGTGACTGTGTACTGCTTCACAGAGCCTAGTTATCAATGATACCAGATAGCAAAACTAAACCTTTGATCACTGTATCTGGCCCGTAGCTCCACCTTAACCCTCCAAAGTGGGGTAATCAGCTTTAGAGGTGGTGGTGGCTGGATTTTCTAACTTTGGACAGAGCTAGCGGTTTCCAACTGCTTCCAGTCTTTATGCTAAGTTAGGCTAACCACATCCTGACACCAGTTCTGTACTTTAACTTTTCATTAAATTTACCAGCTCCGGAGTAATGAGAGCCACCACATCTACCTAAATATGGACATTGCGAATTATGTCAAAGCCTTTAACTGTGGACACAATCTTCAAAAACATTTTCTTTTAAATAATGAAAAGTGCAAATACAGTTTCATCGCAGGTAGAAGTAGCTCCAACACACAAAGAGAAACCAAATAGTTCAGTGTTGTTCCCTCTACGCACCAAAGGTTTCAGTCACTGTATTAGTGTGCAGATACACTACAGTATGTACCAGGTACTCTGTGTATATATATGCTCTTTCATTAAGATTATTTTTTATAGTCTGTTATCGATCTTACAATAAACTATGTACAGCCCTGCTCGTGTCTTCAGTGATCTCATTTCAATCAGCTCCACTCTGGACCACGATCACAAATATAATCCAGAGATGAGAGTTGATGCTCTGACATCACACGAGCTCAGACAATCACAGAGAAACAGAAACACTGGTGAGACATGTGGATGAAGCATCAGTCAGAGCAGAGTCACTTTATACTTGCAAAGGCTCCACAGTGATTCATTAGTTCTCAAATCAATTCATTCAAGTAGTGTTAATGTCAACAGGGTGTTATTTCAATCCACTGTATTCACTGTATAAATCTGTGCTAATTGCCTACAGTACATGAGGAGGGGAGTAAACTTTACACACAGACAGTTTGTCTCAGTGTCACTTGATGGTGCATTTCATTGAAATTTGGTTCCTATTGTTCATTTTTTCTTCAGTGTCCATTTCAGTCTCATTGTATTTGAGCATAATCTCTCTGATTAGACATACTTTTACCCCCAAAAACCTAAGGGTGAATGTTACTGAACGTCCTCTACCAGTCTGTTAGATGAACTGAATATGTCAATGACAACAATCTGTCTCATTTCATTAAACATCTGGAAACTCACAATGTGGTCAGACATGTCATTACAGCCGTGTCCCAATTCAGGGGCCACATCCTTCATAGGGCTGCATATGAAGACAGCTTGCGTCACAGCAGCGCGACTAGACTGTTCCATTTTCGAAAGCTCCTTCTAATGCGGCCGAGAAATGCAGCCTTCTTTTCCTGGGCAACGAAGGTTCCAACAAGTGGATCCTTCATGGTCCAACCTATCCCAGGATTCATTCCTCACCAGTAAGTAAAATAATATGGCAGCAAACAACACCGACACTGAGCCTGAGGATTACACTGTTAAATGTAATTAATGTTAGCTCAGTTCCACAGCTAACAGTACAACTGTTAAAAAGGCTCAAAACCTCAAAACCAGAGTTACATGTTGTTAAGATTGTTATACTAAGAATTTTAAAGTGGATGGAAATCAGGCGTTTGTAATATTTACGTCTTCCTAGCCACGCCATGTCTGACAATGGTTTTTGAAGATCAAGACAATTTTCCATAGAACTGCCTGTGAGCCCTGTGAGAAGTATGAGAGTGAAAGTTTCTCAAGAAGAAGAAAAAAAGCACTTAAAGCACTTATGGCTGTAAATGATTTTTCAAATATCTCTGGTATGAAAAACAGTAAAACATGTTCTCTGAGTGCTCAACATATTTTAAAGACAGAGAGGGACGCTCCTGCTCTGATAGACTTTAGTAGCTTGTTCCACCATCAGGGAACCACAGACCAGAACAGTCTGGACTGAGACTGTCTTGTGTGCAGAGATGGTGATGACAGACCACATTCATTAGAGAAAGTTCAAGTAGATGGTGTCTAGAAGAAGTCACTCTGAAGGCTGCATTAGTGAGTGAATCTGATTCAGGCGAGCCATGTGTAGTTAGTGGAGGTCGAGTGTCATGTGACCCTTCAGGCTGATCAAAGACCAGACATGCTGCTGCATTCTGGACCATCTGTAAGGGTTTGACTGTTCATGAAGGGAGGCCTGTCAGAAGAGCATTGCAGTAGTCGAAGTGAGAGATAACCATGGTCTGGACCAAGAGCTGGGTGGAGTACTGAGTCAGGTGAGACCTGATGTTAATGTTTTGTATAGACCAAAGAGACACGACCGGGAGACGGATGCAACATGGTCAGAGAATTGCACATTTCTTTAAACAGGTTTCATGATGAAATAAAATGAACAGAGGGCATTTGGGGAACTGGTACAGATGACCAACAACATGGACTATGCAGCTAAACACTCCAATCTTCTACAGAGTTCAACAACACCTGAAGCTGAAATCTGAAGGAGGACTTCAACATTGTGTAGACATGTGTAAATCCTTACAATAGCACTCTACCTGTATTTTGATGTTGAATTCTGCTTGATGGTTTTGAGGATGGAATTCCAGCTTAGGTAGAAAATATGTTCTACATGTATGTCTGCAAGGCTTAAAACGTTGCAGGGCGCACTAAACCCAGCATCAGCACTGCAACCAGCAAAGCAGAACACGTTGAAATAACACAGAGACACTGTGGCCGACTCACCGAGGTAAGGAATACAGGGCACCATCTTCAGGGAGCGGATGTATTCTCTCATGCGGGTGTAGTTCTCCTCCTTGGACGTCAGATAGTTCAGCTTCTCAAATGTGGCCTTGTCTTTCCGACTGATCAGCTACAACAGAGAAGAAGAACCACGTGTTTGATTCACAGCCTTTTACCTGAGTGGGAATTATGGCAACCTCACAGATGTTGAATCAATGATACCTTACCTGAGCCAAACTACAGTGTGATAAGTTCTAACACTGACAACTACACTGTTAAAAATCAAAGACTGCTGAAGCTAGAGGCTTATTTACAATGGATTAAACTCAACAATAGTTCCTCAACAAACACATCTCTGTGGAATTTCCCTCGTCTGCTGAAGGCTGCAGCAGCCAGCTCATTAGGCACTGCTCATGTACAGTGAGGTAGACGAGGCTTGGTGTGCATCATCCTGAGTGGTTCAGACAAATCTGGCAAAGACCGGTTTTATCTGTTGCCAATATGTGACATGATACTTGTGCTCCGGCACGAATTGAGTGACTTGGAGGGGGTTTTTTTTTAGTGCTGCTGGTTCCATCAATGTACAAAACAAAAAAACTGACAAGATGCTGGTGGGTCGATCAGAGACAAAGACTCCCACAATCTGAAGCTACTGGAAGAAATGTCACGATAAATAAAAAGCTTCTGATAACTTGATGATACTTAATGATGAAGTAAAGTAGTGTGAAGCTGAGCCGACAATGGCGATCTCAGTCACCAGTAGGGCTGGGTTGAAAATATCATATCGATATTAATTCATAAAATCTAGGTTCTTTGGATGTATCGTTTTAATATGACCTTTTACAGTCTCCTGTGGATGACTGACCAACCTATTATTTCTTGATGTGTGTCTAAACTGTTGGTCACCCTTAAAAAACTAGAATCACCTCCTCATGTTTGTCTGCCTCCTCCACCCAGACTAGTTTCAGGTCACATCCCTGTTTATCCAGAGTCATAGAAAATATGAAGCATTTGTGTGAAATTTTGTCATAATTGCTGAGTGTCTTGAGTTATGACTTATAGTGTTTTGTGAGGTCACTGTGGCCTTGATCTTTAACTACCAAAATCCAATCAGTTCATTCTTGAGTCTCAGTGGACATTTATGCAAAATGTGAAGGAATTCCCTTGAAGAGTTCTTGAGATATCACAAGGCCAGAGCTGTATTCAGGTTACATCCCTGTTCATCCAGAGTCATATAAAATATGAACAATTTGTGTGAAATTTTGTCATAATTGCCGTTTGAAGTCTTGAGTTATGGCTAAAAAGTGTTTTGTGAGGTCACTGTGAACTTGACCTTCAGTCACCAAAGTCTAATCAGTTCATCCTTGAGTCCAAGTGAATGTTTGTGGCAAATTTGAAGAAATTCCCTCAAGGCGTCACAGAGATATTGCATTCACAAGGCCAAAACCGTGTTTTATGAGGGCACCACACCCTTGACCTTTGACAACCAAAATCGAATCATTTCATCCTCGAGTCCAAGTGAATGTTTGTGCCAAATTTTAAGACATTCTGTCAAGGCGTTACTGAGATACCGTGTCCATGAGAATGAGATAGACAGAAAGACAACCTGAAAACAACATGCCTCCGGCTCTGACTGCTGCCAGCATGGAGGAATAAAAAAGAACTTGTAAGAGTATTGATAAGGATTATCAATAAGTGTAGTAATATTAATAAAAACTTTATGATACATTCCTACTTCAGAGAGCACTGTAAAAATATGTACTACAGAGTGAGACCATCACAGCTTTGTCACTAGCAGAGCTGGTTCCAGTTTGGATCTGGTTCCTGGCAAAACACCCAAACCTCCAAAGCAACAAGTCTCTTGTCCAACCTTCATCTTTTTTATTAGAGCGAAGTAGAAAACATTGAAGTATCTGCTGTGGTCCTTTGTTTTTACTGGTTACCATGACAGAGGATGGCAGATTAAACCAGCTGTTATATATAAATAACCTTAATGCCTTTTTAAAAAAAAAAAATGGCTGTAGTCTGGTTAATGTGCTCTGAGATGATGCTGGTTGTGCAACAGCGCTGTAGAGTCACACCCACAGTTGTAATTAGCCCTGAAACAACGGGTTGGCTAATTAACTGACGTTCTTTAGTTCCAGCCTGAAAAGTGATTTCAGAAAAGATTTTCTGTTTTTCTTTGTCTAATAAAATCATAAACTGAATATTCTGAGGTTCTGGACAGTTTGGAAGACAAAACAAACAACTCACAGACATCATCCTGGACAGTGAGTGATTCATTTCATCCACTGGCAAAATAAACAGATATTTGCAGCCCATGTTGGAATACATTAATCTTTAATGGACTACAGATCAATAATCGTAGTTCTGAATCAGCTCTGTCAGTATTTGGATCAAGCTGGTTAAAAGTTCTGAAAACAACATATTCAAGAGTCTCCTCAGTCAACAACCTGCAGATGAAACCCTGTTCTCCTCTCTGAATGTGTAACGTGTTGTTAGTGGTTTCTTGCTCGTCCCTGATACAGTAACAGGTCTCTGTGCTGCTTATAAAAGCCCATCAACAGAAGCCTTCCAGTTCAACATACAGAGTGATTCTCCATGTGTCCTGGCCCTAATGCATCCACTCGTCACGGTCTCACGTCCAACACCGTCAAATCAGAATTCATGTTCAGACGGTAAAACCAGGACCAAACAGTCTGAGCTTTAACGGCCTGGAGAAGAAACAGCTGTCTGAAGTGGAACTAATCACTCAAACACCACGTTTGGACAAAAGGCGGCGGCGGCGGCGGCGGCGGCCAGCCACACGTTAGTGCTCATAAACACACATAACCTGATCCGTTTGTAGTGATGAAAGTCATTTTATGACGACAGCCGAGCTCCACATGTTATCTCCATTTTCTTTGAGTGGTGGTCGACGACCACGAAGAAACGTCCACCAACATCTGATCCTCCTAAAACCTCTGGATCTGTCCAGCAGGACATCGTAATAAACTCAAGCCTGAGGTCCAGCAGACTTTCTCAAATCAATCATTCTATTATTATATAATATGATAAGCAATATATTTGTCTGGCTGGAAAGAAAAGGCTCACCAAACAAACTCATATTTAACTGAGAAAAGTCATAGAGGGTGTGAGTCTGTGTTTAAAGGTCAGTTGCCTGACTGCAGCACAGAGGACGTATTTGTTACTCAGGTGAAGATCAGGTCACATTTTATGATCAGTTAATGCAGAATGCAGATTGTGGTGGTCAAAGGTCAAAGTTCAAGGTCACTTTGACCTAATGTTCTTGTGAATGCAATATATCAGGAAAGCCAAGACAAGAGTTTCATCACTTCTGGTGTATTGTGAGCTCATTAAACAAATTTTTGCTCCCTAAATCACAGATTCATTCACTAATGATGACACAATTTAACTCAAATTCCTATAAAAAATTAAGTGACGACATTTTATATCATAATAGTCAAAGGTCAACTTCACTGACATCATAATGTTCTGTGAAAAGACTTCTGGCCGTTATTCAACACTATAACTCAGGAAGGAGAGACTGTGACCACATTTCCTGCAACTTGGCTGATTGGTGGAGGAAACAACCGCGAGGAGGTGATTCATCATCAAGTTCATGGTAAATCATCAGTAAACACTGACACGACTGGAAGAAGAATCAACATCTGTGCATCTGACATTAATGCAGCGGCTTCAGACAGTATTCAGACCCGTTCACTTGACTGTGTTGTAGATTTGATTTTAAATGGTTAAAATTGCCCACAAGTCTAAACTCTATAACCCATGATGAGAGAGTGCAAATCATCACTGAAATCTTTCATTTACAAAAGCCTGCCTTCAGACCCTTGATCCAGGACTTTGTAGAAGCTCCTTTGGCAGCAGTTAAAGCTTCCAGTCTTCATGGCTGAGTCTCTACAAGCTTTGCACATCTGGATTTGGACAGTTTCTCTCATTCATCAGCCCAGTCTCAGGTCGTGTGTACTCAGTGGCAACTTTTCTTTTTCCTCCCACTATCAGCCCTTTAAGTGTCGCTTGTCAAACTCCCAGCAGGCTTCACTATGTTTACAAGCGTGCTCAGAAGAGCGTCCTCTGCCTCTATTGGTCAGCTGGTCAACTTTCACTGCCAACACCCGACATCCATAAGGTCAGATTATTAGTTCATTGTGTTGATATTGTGTCGTCTGAACCCAGAATTAGAATGACTGTTGGGTTGTTGATCACCTGACCAGAACAGTGAAGGGGTCTGAAAACTTTCACTGCAAATAAATATGCTGTTTACCAAACTAACAAACAAACTAAACACGTCATCACATCACATCACTGAGTCAGTAGTGAAAACGTCATGTTCAACCAGTGGTGATCCTAGACTCTGGGGGGCCCAGGCAAAGAAGCACATCGTAGGCCATCAAAGAACCCCCTTGCCCTCATGAGCAGACTGTAGGCAGAGACTACAATTTACAGATGTTCCCTAAACGCCTCACATGCAGATTATCCGTAGACGTCATGATTTACAGATGTTCGAGGAATGCCTCACATGCAGACTTACATTACACGTTACAATTTACAGATGTTCCTTAAACACCTCACATGCAGCCAATGGGGAGACACTACAATTTACATAATCAGGGGCCCCACTCAGGTTTTGGGGCAACAGCTGTGCACTGTATAGAGTCTTTGTAGCAGATTTAAGGGGGTTTATAGTTGATAATGCAAAATGTGCAGATCTGAAGGGCCATCGAGGGCCCCTTTTCTCCCTAGGGACCCCAAGCATTTGCCTGGTCTGCCTCTCATGACAGTGCACCTCTGTGTACAACCCTTAACAATGAATAACGTCTGTGCTGCAAGTTGATTGGTCAGTTTCTCTGATTTCTGATAGACTTAACTAAACTACATTTCCCAGGGGTCACTGTGTGACATAAGTCCACTCATCTGTTTCTGCTGGTTGGCTGTGGCTGTGGACAGTAGTCTACGTTATGTAGTGATCATGTTACATTAATGTACTTCAGGCCTCTAAAGGGCAACACATAGAGACTGTAGAAATATGAAGTGTGGTTCTTTGTGATTGGCTGCTTCCAGCTGATTCACACACTGATTTAAAGGAGGAAGTGGTGACACTTTATAGTTTCACTTGAAGCAGTGTGTGAGTCTGATGTCTTACCGCCCAAGTTTTGCTGAGTCTGAAGATGGGAGCGCTCTGCAGAGCAGACACCACCGACACCAGAGAGTGAAGGTTGTTCAACTCCAACAGTTTCTGGAACAAACAGATATGTTATAAACAAAATGCAAAGTAAAACCAAAACCTGCAAAAAAAAACATACTTATCTTTATAAACCACAGGTGAAGTGCCCCATGGTTTAGGGATTAACATGCCAATCCAAAACCTAGCAACCCTTGTTTCATTTCTCTCTATGCTTGGACAGTATCACAGTATTAAAGTATAACAAGGTATACAGAAATCTTTAAGGTATGACATACGCTTTAGTTTTCTAATAAAACTGACACAGAGACCATCTGTGTTTGGAAATATTATGTGTTCAGGTTCCTCCTCTGAACCTCTGAGCTCTTCTATTGTCCAAAACCAAGAAAACACATCAGGAAGTCACACTGTTGCACTGGGTGACATGTCCCTTTTTACCATAAAGACACACTTTATCTTATTTTGACACAATCCTTATTATCCTATAATCCCTCATACTATAAATACAGCTGAAATCACAGTTCAGTCTTTGTCCTTAACTGAAAATGAAAGTAGTTTATTTGCTGTAATGGAAGCAAGGCTCAGTGTACTGGAAGTGCTCCTCCTTTTCCCTGCAGTTCCTGAGCAGCCGGGAAACAGCCGTGAGTCAGTGACATTCGAGATTATAGGGCTGGCTCCATGTGTTTTTGGTTCAGTCAAAAACATGTCAGTGAGAACAGCTTTATTGTGAATTCAGCTGTATTAAAATACTGTATATGTGAGCACAGAGAGGAGGAGAGAAGCAAACAGAGCGACTTCCAGTTTATGTCTGATTTCACCTTTGTAGTCGTTGAACCCCTAATCCATGATTGCAGAGTGATTCTCTATGAGGACGCATTCTGGGTCTGTGAACAGTTACATCAGGTACATCAAGCTTTATTTTCAGGAGTCTGTATCTTTGTAATTTTTGCCCAGAATGTTATGTGATGCTTCCACGTTTCCTTTCCATCCCATACTCGGGGGAAAAACTCCTGCTACTGTTCCCTGATCAGACCACCATCATGCTCCTGCCATCAGTGTGTCTGCTTTCTCCATCACTCCTCACGTAGCGTCATAAAGTACCTGGGAGTAGCTCCTGGATTCTGTAGCTTCACACACTAGAACAGATTCTGTGTTGAAAAGGTTTTACAGGCAACTGGCTGTGACCCATAAACTGTAGATCTACACTAACACACTGACTGTTCAGCCACTGGCTTCGGCTGCTGAACATCTATGTCTGATTACAGACTGAGAACCTTCACACACATCACACTGAGCTGAAGTGTAACAATGAAGGAGATTAACAGCAGGTTTTTGTCTGTTTCAGTTCACATAGTTTTTTCATCAACTGTTCAACTGATAATTGGTTCCAGAAAGAATTGTTCACAGAGAAAAAAGCAGGTTTCTGCAAAGTTCAACACCATGATATTATTAAGTGTTTAAACTGCACAAAATCACAGCTACTTGCATGTTTATGGACTGTCATCTAAATCAAAATTAAATAAATACATACATGAATATATAAATACAGCTACAAAATAAATCATGAAATAAATTAATTAATTAATATATGTAGAAATATATAAATACATGTAAAAATAAATATGTGAGTAAATAAATAAACAAATAGCTATATAAATGAATACATAAAGTATTAATTAAAATGAAGAGTGAATTCAGTGCAGTTCTGGTGCTGATCTGGTCTGTGAGACATGGAAATAAAAAGCTGGGAAATAAATAAAAATGTAATTTTTAAAATAAAAAGCATTTTTTCATTTTATTTATTTACATTTATATATTTCTACATTTATTACCTAATTTATTTATTTCAGGGATTATTTCACGGCTGTTTTTATTTATTTATGTATTTATTCAATACTGATTCCATACATCTTGGGCTGCAATATAAATCATTAGTTAATAATAAATATTTCTCATCTTGTTATTAAACCCACAGTCTGTAACTTCTGCCTCTAGTGGCCTCAATCAAAACAAAACAACAAAAGATGGCGATGGGTGATGTCATGAAATAGTGTGGGATCATGGGAGTTGTTGTCTTCACCACCATCACCGTAAGCTCCTCCCGGTTTGGATTCCTTCAGTGTCAGTGGTTCAGGAAATCAAACAGACCTGGTGATTCTAACCGTTAAAGTCAGAGTTTGAGCGACGCTGTACGGAGGACAGAGACTCAGGGAAGAGCTGGAGCTGAGATCGATGCTAACCTTTGTCCTGATTGTTTCTCTGAAAACTTATGAAGCAGACGTTCAGCAGGTTTTTACCAGCAGCTGAATGATCCACAGAGGTGTCCTCCTCTCCACAACAAACATTTCCTCAGCTTGTTTCTCTGATAACTTCAGATCCAGACGTCCGACGACTAAAATCCTTCATCTGGTTCAAATATAGAGCTGAAAACCACCAAGGTGTAAAAAGTGTATGTGGCTTAAAACTAGATAAAAGTCAATGTTGAGCTTCTGTCAGACAAACACACTGACACATGATCATAGAGGATATGATGTCATTTACAGGATACCAAATGACATATTTCTCTAGGTTTGCGAATTACTGGAAACATTTGGGAAAATTTAAGAACACAACTCAAAAAAATATAGAACATAGGTCTAGTCATTTTTAGACATTTTAATGTGAAAAAGTTACACATTATAACTTTAAGAATAAAGCATCTATTCATTAAATTGAACTCACCTTTGCGATTTTAACAAAATGGCTCAATATCTCTGCACGAATCTTCAGCGTCTGGGCAGTTAAGATTTCCCTCACCAGCCAGAAGCTCACCTGAAACATGACATACACACACATGTAGGAAGACATGAGTCTACATGTACTGTACCTCCTAAAATAAATATCTGGCTCTTCAGCTGCTAAATGCTCCTTTTTGGTTCAAATAGGATTTTTGAGTATAGTTTTAAAGATGAAAAAATCTGTATTGAGGGAAGGGGAAAATATGGGGGAACTCCCTATCATAGTATTTGAGGGATTTTGTCCTTTACTTTTCTATGAAAGTACCAGATTAATATAAATTTAATATCACTACATGACAAAATAGGGATAACAGAGCTCACAAACAATTATCACAAAAACAAACAAACAAAGGTTTTGAGGGTTGAAAGCTCTTTATTGGAAGCCAAAGTGCTCAGCCATTAAGCTGTGAGGGTAAACTGACACTACATGTTTGTAGACTCCTTAACAACACACTCAGTGTCTGAATGGAAAACAGACTTTTCAAATTAACAGTGTGGAATGCTGAAGCTGCCTCTGCACATCTGTTTGGGCTCTATCTGCCTGTGAGCATCAAGAATTTCAATTAGGTACTAAAAGGTGAAGATGAATTTGACCTGACAGCAACAACTTCCACTAATGAGCTTTTCAGCTTATTATCATCCATCCACTGATGATTGTAAGGGAGAGAAATGTAGTGTGGTTGCCAGGATTCATGCCCATGATCACAGAGTGGAGGAAGATGGAATGAAGATATTTTCAGAAATACAGGAAACAACAATAATACTAGGGACCGGCTCACACTGCAGTCTCTCTGTCGTTCTATAATCCTTCACAAGGCCTTAGCTCTTCTACTGCCACACTTTTAAACACACTAAATTATATGCACAAGAAAAAAAGGCAGCGCAGCTTTATTTGAACTATTCTCCAAAACTATGAAAACTCATTTTTAAACAACAGCTGAAAACCAATTATTTAATTTGGCTTTTAATTTTTTTTTTTAATTATTCTTACTTTATTTCATCAACTGTCTTTTATTGTCTAATTTCATTGTAATTCTAGCCTTCCTTGTTTTAATTTGCTACTTCATCTTTATTTTTACTGTAAAGCACTTTGAACTACATCTCTTGTATGAAAAGTGCTCTACAAATAAAGTTTATGATTATTATCATTAATAGAGGCTCATGAGCTCATGTTTTAGACTGTACAGTGTTTACTTACCTTTATCAAAAGTCACATACCAAGCATAACTAAAGTCTCTTCTTTGTTAGCTGTAATTATTTGCAGTAATAAAACGATGAAATATTTGCTGTAGACAAACCTGGTTGAACCTTCGTGTGAATGCGACCACATTTGGAGCCAAACTGTGTTTCTCTTTTCCATTCCATCCACAGCTGGCCAGCTCCTGCCAATCACAAAACCACATGAACCGACAGATGTGAGGAACATGTAACAGTAACCAACAGAATACAGGTTAACAGAGAATGAGACTGTTGACAATAACACGTTTCTGGACTGTAACCTCATGCTAGAACATCGTCATGAAAAACCATCGCATACACCCTCAGAGCTGTTGACTGACAGTGTGCGCAGGAATACCAGTATAAATCTCCTGTGGGGGAATCCTAGTGATAAGCCACCAGGGGGCAGACTTCCCAGACTAAGTCAGATGGATCAGAAATATTACCTGATACAAACCAACCCCAAACTGTATTTACACAAAGCTCTGCTCCAACACGACACAGGTGCAATGTTTACCAAGTTCACCATCTTTATTTGGTGTGTCAGCATATTAACGTTTGTCAATTACCACCAAATGATGGGAATGTCATTAGTTTTGCAGGTATTTGGTCATAAACCAAAATTCTGACCCGATGAAGACGAAGATGAAAAGTCAGAGGATCATCAAAGTTATTACATACGGTGGCCCTGAGAGCTCAAAGCACTGCAACTTTAGAAAACACACACAAACAGACCAGAACACAAACAACTTCAGAAAACATCTTCATCAGTTTTAAAGACATGAGCTGCAAATACTCACAAGTGTTTCCAGGGGACTCTGAAAAGCGATGAACCTGCTGGGACATACGAGTTGTTCAATGCTTTTAACTTCAAAAGTCACAAAGCTTTGAACAACAAGTGCATCCCAGCAGGTTCATCGCTTTATTCTTTGAGAGAGAGAGAGAGAGAGAGAGAGAGAGAGAGAGAGAGAACATGAAGAAGCAAACAGTCGCATCAGGCTGCTCTGTAGTCAGTGCACAGGTTACCCACAAATCATAAAAGCGCAAGAATGTTTGTTTTTTTGTAGCAATACCATATTTTGAATTAACTGAGAGCTTTTATTCTGAAAAGTTGATCAAGGTTCAAAAGATTGTGTTGCTCACTTGACAGACCTCTGAACAGGCTAATGTGTGGTATGAAAAAAACAGCGTCAAACTCACTCTGACTGTGGGCCCTGGTGCCACACACGTGAACAGTAACAACTTTCCTCTTTAGACTTTTTGATAGTGATGTTTTTCCTCCAGCTAGCTAGCTTAAATGTTTAGCTGACTCCACTCTGCACACAACATAATAGCGTACCATGCAAACAGTTAAAAACATGCTATTCTGTACAAGAGGAGGTTGGGTAATTGATGCCAAAGAATAATTCTGTGAGTAAAAAGTATGTCAAACAATTATTACAATAAGTTGAAAGAAGCGGTCAGTCATTCTCAAAATGTCAATATTAAACATTTATTATTCACATTATGGAAAGAGGAACTAAAACAGAGTTCATTAAGAACATTTCATGACTCAAACAGGACATTAATATTTCCTCATTTTTAGAGTTATTATCAAAAAGTTGCATTTTTATCAGTTACTTTCTTGATTTGAGCCTTTGATTATGTTCTGGCTGCCATCTAATGGCTTAAGAAAAATTTGGCCTAAGGCAAAACTTACGTTCTGATTTAGGCATCGCCATCCTCAGAGTCGTGGAGCTAGCATGGCTAAAAATGGGAAGGAAATCATTGGTATGGGAGTAGATCTGGTCTTAACGTGGTCTTGGTATGACACTGGTTTTCTCTCAGAGACATATACTAGAGTCATCTAGACTGAATGAAAACAGCAGAGATTAACCACCATTCATCCACCAGTGGAAAATCCCTTTCCTTTTACTTTGTTCCAATTTACAATGATTTTTTTCATTCTTCCTTGGACTCTATCCAGTGTTTGGTTTGACGATCTTAAATAAAGCCATTAACAACAGAAAATCCCACCCTGACAGGAAAAAAAACCCCCAGAAATCCAAAATTCCATTTCAAGTATTTCCATTTGCACCAGTCCCATGTTAGGATCAAGTTCCCAGCAGGACGTCTGATAAAAAGCAATACTGTGACGACTAACAGACTGTTTTCAGATTAAAGTTACAATTTCAAAGTGTGACGTTGGTGGAGCGAGCTGTCACAGTTGTGTTGAGATCTGGTGACTGTGACGGTCATAGAATATGACTCACATCACTTTCATCAAACCATCAGCCCTCATGTCCTGTATGGAAGCATCTCCATTTGTTACACTGAATTACTCAAGTTCTTCTTTTAATTTCTCACTAAAGATCATGATTAGTTCAGGCAGGAATTAAAACATTTTTTCCATCTTCTATATACAGAGCTTTTAGTTTCCCTGCAGCGGTTTTAACTTCAAAAGTCACATAGCTTTGAACAACAATTGCATCCCAGCAGGTTCATCACTTTATTCTTTGAGAGAGAGAGAGATGCTGACTGTTCTATAGTGTTCTATAGTGGAGGCGGTTTGTCTCAGCTGAGATAAAGAGTGCCTCCACTTATGTCAGTCTTATATAAGATGTTATATCCAGTTTATTAAGCACCGGGGAAAATGATCAGTCACAATGAGGTACATGAAACAGAACAGGCCACATATTTAAAAAAGTGAAGTGTCTGGTTAAACCCTCATCCAGTAACTATATTAATAACGAGATGAGATGGGACCTTGTCCTGTATTATCATTCATTTTTATATGTGATAAAAAGCTGTAAATCTCTGCTGAAGAGCTGGTGAGCAGGGCTGGGCAGGATATCCACTCCTTAAAGTAAATCAATTTCTTTTCAAACCAGATAAAGATACACAAGACCATTCACACTACAGTTTGATGTGTTTCTTCCATAAAGCTGTCCGCGCAACCCCGCCCCCACTCCCCCTGTGCGTCAGTGTACAAGCCCCGCCCCTACTCCGTTTGTCTGCATACAAATCCCGCCCCTACTCCATCTGCGTCTACGCCCTAGCCTAAGTTCTCCTGTCACACTGGGGGAGACCCAGTGCTGGTTTGTGAAAAGAAAATTAATGGTTCAATTATTTGCAGATGGTTTAGATTTAAAATATCTTTATTGCATTTTGTTCTCTTTGTCTGTTATTGTTGTTGAAAACAACTGAAGGAGTATTCTCAGAGACACACCTACTTTTATACAATATAGTCCATTCATTTGATATATTATTTCATTTGCATGTTTTGCAGATGTATATCACCCAACAGGGAGGGAAACCCTCTCTTTGCATCGTATGTTGACCACAGTCTGTTTTAATAAAAGTGCTAGTGACGTCTCACATGTGGCTTTGACTTACAACTAAACATGTAGCCCACATCTTAAAAAATCCCAGATATACTGTATATCACACATCGTCATTCAGCCTAAAGATACAGAGATATGACTCTTGGCTGCAGCCCCAGCTGTGAGTTCAGTCATACTGTGAATATAAACATCTGTATACAGGACAACTATCTGCAGCTTGGAAACATACAGGACTATCACCAGACCCCCTCTGTTTAAAAATTAAGAGTTATTAAGATCCATTACATGATCGCCCACAGCAATACATAAATAAATCTACACAGCTAATCACTGGATTATCATGTTATTGTAGAGTTACATCACAGAGAAACAGTATGGCCCGATGCAGATGGTGTTAGATGACAGATACATGCTGTTTAACTGTTGTTATGTATGAAATCTGTTTTGTTCCTGATGAATCTTTTACTTCACATTCTCTGACACAGACGAGTTATCAGTCTACCGATCACTGCACTCATGAAACATGGCACCATCCATCAGTGTCGCGCCGTCAGGACAAGCAATGTTTGCCCAGGTAAAGCTAAAAATAGACATCAATTAGAATGATACTGAAGTGGAAGTGATATCTCTGCTTATAGCTGATCTCAGAACAGTGTCCTGTCCCATAAAGGATCTGATGCCTGTTTCATTCATCATGTAATTTACATGAGTGGGTGTGACCATGTCCTGTTGACAAAGGCTGGAGCTTGTCAATCTGTCCTTGACTCAGCTTCTACTGTTCTGAGATCAGTTCTGATATTGTAGCATTATATGCATGTGCAGATGTGCGTCAAGAGGCAGCAGCAGCAAATAAATGAGCTCACTACACTGATTTATCATATCTGTGTGAGATCTACTGTAAGTTTGAGAAGTTTGAGACAGAATATTGTTACAGTAGTAGGGCAGCTTCTTTGAGTGACAGATCAGTACGTAGGTCGTGTGCGTAGCAGGTGAGAGAGTTAGTTGATTGTTGGGCTCTGGTAGCCTGTCTGTAAAAGTCACTGCACGTCACTGCTCCATAGTAACTTGCTTTCATCAAAAAGCATTAGCAGGTATAAGCCAGTTTTTTCACACAGGTAAACCTGCTAATAGAAGTCGATTGACCCCTTGTCCACTGCCAGTCAAGTCTGTCTTTCTGTTCAGACTGAGGACACACACAACTGCAAGGAGTAATGTCATCACATGCACTTACAGAGCACACACACAGACACAGTGGAGAGAGAGTGAGCTGCTAGCCGCCATGCTAACTGGTAAAACAGATCTGTCTCAGGTTAGAGCTCTTGTAAAAGTGTCAGAGCCTCTGTGTGAGACGCTTCAATCAGTTTTTAAAACTTATGTCAGGGCTGCAGCGCACTCTTTCATCACAGAGCACTGTGTAGCCGCAGTGTCTGCTGTTACAGCACCACGTTGGACAGGTGACAGAAAGAGGTGAAAATGAGCAAGTTCACCTGGGTGTTGTGTTTACACCAATGCTGATCAGAGCCAGAGCCGATAAATACCTGCGTCTACTGCAGAGTCATGTGACCCAGGTGTGAATGCTGACGGTTCCCTTTTCCATTGCCAACAAAAGCCTGATGTTAGCAGGTCTTAACAGGTTTTTGACCAGTGGAAAAGGGGCTAATGTCTGACAACTTGCACTGGACTAAGTTTTGGATGCGTGCTCACAGATGGGGCCAGTCTTACAAATATAAGGGCAAATAGTAAGTTCATGTCTGTGTTATATTGGAAAAAAATTAAAGGACTTGGGAGACCATGTTGGAAGACGGAACTGAACTCTACACCATGTGCTTGTGAGGGCGTCATCTTTAGTTAATTTATAATTATTAGTCCCTAATGTCTCTCCCATCTCTGCAGACAGTCTTTGTTCAGCCCAATGTGGTGGGAGGGAGATCCTTCAGGGGCGAGCAGCGAGTGGAATTTCATTGACTAACTGAGGGTAAAGCCGGGGTTCAGCCACTAAGACCAGTCTGGGTTCAGCTCAGTGGAAACAGCTGTGTAGATCATCATGGCTGCATCAAGTATTGGAAACAGTACTGTGCGTGTGTGTGTGTGTGTGTGTGTGTGTGTGTGTGGGTAGGGGGGGGGTTCTCAGGGGTTTCCTGCAAAAGACTTTCTGTTTCCTGGTAAGAATTCAAATTCAACACAGACACAATTACTGAGAAATTACAGGAACCCCTCAAATAGTGGTTTGAAGGGTTAACAACAACACAGCTAGAATTTCCTAATAAGAGGCCAACCACCTGACAACATGTGTCTCTTACCTCTGGCTGTATCGCCCTGAAGACTGGTGCATCCATCAGGGTGATTTGGCTCTGAAATAATAAAGACAGAAATTCAGTCTCTCTTTCAATATGCAGGAGGTTGACACACAATGAAACACAACACACAGCTGAACATTATGAAACCATGATGGTGGAAGAACATACACACACACACACACACACACACACACACACACACACACACACACACACAGGCTTCAGAAAGTCTTTTATTGTGCTGTCGATTTAATTTTAAATGAATAACACTGTCATCAATCTAAACTCAGTGACCCATTATAACATTATGAATGAAATAACTGATGATATAAACTGCTACTGATTTCTTTGAGAAGCGTCTTCCCATTTGTTGAGCTGTTGTTGTCGAGCTTCATGATTGGCTCAGCTGTTTCAGAGCCATTAGATCAGTGATGTGATTGGCTGAGAGTATATCTATTAATCAACACAGCCTCTGACCTCTATTACATTTCACTCAGCCCTCTGCAATTTGTGCTTTTGCACAAACACACTAAATAAATAAATAGATGATTTCACATCTTCCAAAACAGACAAACAGCTGGAAGCTTTTTTTGGCCACTTGAGAGCAGGAAACCTCCAGCAGAGAACAGCTGACAACAGCTGGGAACTAGCATGATGAGAAAAGAGAGTAAATCTGCCCTAAAACAAAACACTGAGCAGCAGAGACTTTGGTGTGTCTGGGCCCCTGTCATCATTACAGCATAGAACATCTGATTTGAAATAGTCAATAATAATAAATGAAAGTTTTTTTTCTCTGGCAGAAATTTAAAGAAACTTTTGCATGTCGATGAAAGGGAGCAAGAAATTCTCAAAACTTGGTTTGATGTCAATAAATTGTCTCTTAATGTTTAGAAAACTGAATTCATGGTGTTTGGAAATCAAAAAGAAATTGATGGGGATATTACTACAAGAACTAGCTAGACGTATTATTCATAAGGCTGGTTACTGTGACCACCCTAATCCACTGTTTCTAAATTCCCATCCAATGAAATTTAATGATTTAGTATATTATTATAAAAATAATGCAAAAATTGTTCAGAGCTAAATGAAAGTCACTTCCAGACTGCCTGTTCAGTCACTACTGAATACACAGACCTTTGACTTTGTTTTTTTTTTACTGTCTATATTGTTTATATTTACTGTTGTTTATATCTGTATATTACTATGTGTGATGACTGGATAAAATACTTCACTTCACACACATGAATGATAGAATCTTTCTTTTCTCATCTAAAAATAAATGTAGGAATAAATAACACTTCCTACACTCATGCCTCGCCTCCATATCAAAGCCTTACATATTAACACAAGGTATTATTTAGATTTTATTAGCACGACAAAGAAGAAGTGATTTCTGGGAAAACTGCCATTTTATCTGGGAGTGAAACTAAAAAGTAACGTGGTATCAGATCGGGGCATGGACTTGTGTACTCGCCGATACTTGATCTAGTATTTCAGAGGCATTTCAGACACTAGTATTAGCAGTACTGGAACAAATGTAGTTCAGGTGTGACTGGAGTAAGAGCCAAGTGACTTCTCTGCATGAACCTAAACTTCCTGCTAGTGGACATCAGACATCGGCTCCATGTTTTCCTGCAGCTGTGTGGTAAATGAGCCAAAACCAGAGCAGCAGCTGCAGCTCTCAGTATTAAGGAACTTTATCACACAGCCAACCCCCGGCTCCCTCTGAAAGTGAGTGAAAGCTTTGCCACTAAAGTCCTACAACAGTGTGTTTGGGTCTTTCAGGTAAGATCTGATCCATCAGTTGAAGCTCATACTCACAGCAAACTCCTCAGGTGTCACCTTCAGCACATCGAAGACGACTGCATCGTAGCTCTTGGCGTAGTCCACACAGGGTCCATCCAGAGAGTCAGAGCTGCTGCTGGCCTGAGACACACACACACACATTCAACTGTCATGGCAACAGCTCTATACCTGTGTCACCTGCTGTCAGGGACCACAAGCAGAACTAATGTCATCAAACTGTGGATTGGATCAATAAAGTTGGCAAAATGTAGTGAGTCACAAGTCAACATCAATTATTTATTTCACACTTTCTGCATCAGAATAACAACATTTTTACCTTTTTACCCTCACACTGCCAAGGCCTTTCTGATGCTAACATTAGTGATGGACTGTTGGACAGACTGTCAGTCAGTCAATCACACCTGATAAACATGGACCATTTGAAAGGTTCCCTGTGGGGTTTTGACCATTATTAACTGATTAAAAACTATAGTTTTTATTTTGTTTGTTCTCATGTGCCCACACAAGGACCGACGTGCATGTGCCTGTTCATATACAGTGCTGCTTGAAAGTATGTGAACGCCTTGAGCAGTTCAGATGTTTCTGTTGTTTACCATGATTTTCTTATTTTATCATCACCAGTTTTTATGTATGAAATGTCAGATATATGTTTCATCAATTGCTTGTACTTGTTTAGTGGAACTTGTTTAAGTAGCCCAAAAACTACATGAAACATGGAATTAGTGCATGTGCAAAAGTAAGTGAATCCCCAGCTGCATTGGTTAAGTCAAGCAGGTAACAGACTCAGGTGAAATACATGTGAGTGCTTAATTAATCATTTCAGTAGACCAATGAAATGAGACATCCTTGGGAAAGGGATTGGCCTGCACTAATTAAAAGAGAGAGGAAACCAACCAAAACAACTTGGTCCCATACACATCAACAATGCCGAGAGGAAAGGAGATATCCGAGGACATGAAGAAGAGGGTAGTGACAGCCCATCAGTCTGGGGAGGGATATAAGACCATCTCCAAAAGATTCCAGCTCAATCCATCGACTGTAAGACAAATAATTTACAAATGGAGGGCCTTCAACATGACAGCAACTCTGCCTAGAAGTGGGCGCCCATCAAAACTATCACCCAGAGCCACCAGAAAAATAATAAGTCAGGTAAAGGCCAACCCACACATCACCTCTACAGAGTTGCAGACCTCTCTGGTAGCATCTGGGACAAATGTGCATGCGTCTACGATCAGACGACAATTGAATAGCCATGGCATTCATGGGAGGGTTGCTAGAAGGAAGCCTCTGCTCTCAAAAAAGAACAAAGCTGCCCGTTTCAACTTTGCCAAAGAGCACTTAGACAAACCAGAGGCCTTCTGGGAGTCCATTCTCTGGACAGATGAATCTAAAGTAGAGTTATTTGGTCACAATCAAAACCGCCATGTTTGGAGAAAAGCCAACACTGCAAATGAAGAAAAGAACCTCCTCCCTACAGTGAAGCATGGTGGTGGAAATGTGAAGATCTGGGGCTGCTTCTCTGCTTCTGGAACTGGGCGACTCCATATTATCCAGGGAACCATGAATTCTCAGGCATATCAACAAATTCTTGACCAGAATCTCCTGCCATCAGTCAAACAGTTGAAGCTGGGACGAAAATGGATTATGCAACAAGACAATGACCCGAAGCATTCCAGCAAAACTACAAAGGAATGGCTTCAGAGAAAGAGGATTCGTACTCTGGATTGGCCCAGTCAAAGTCCAGATCTAAATCCTATTGAAATGTTGTGGCGAGACCTGAAGAAGATGGTACATGCCAGATGTCCTTCCAACCTCTCTCAACTGGCTGAGTTCTGCAAGGAGGAGTGGGCAAAAATCCCCATGAGCAGATGCGAGAGACTGGTTAGAGGTTACAGAAGACGTTTGGTTGAAGTAATGGCTGCAAAAGGAGGAGCCACAAGCTACTAATGGAAGGGTTCACATACTTTTGCACATGTTACATTTTCAGTGTTTGTGAAATAAACCACATTTGTTGAACTACATAATGGAAAAATATCTCTTTTTGTGTGTGTGTCCAGTATTTGGAAAGTGTGCTTTACAAATTAGGATTTGGATGTCTGTTAAATAAGGTTCTTTTAATGTTTTTTACAAAAACAGTGACCATGTCTGGAAGGTTCACATACTTTCAAGCAGCACTGTAGGTGGTGCAATGCACATTCCAGCCAATGATTTTACATTTTTTCCAGTGGTCAACAGGTGTAAAATGTCAAAACCAAGCATTAACCTCCCGGTCTAAAAAATGAAGCCAAAACCTGCAGTTCCTCTAATGTCCACTAGAGTCTGGTTCCAACAGTGAGTCAATCCCCATAGACTCCCATGTTAAAATGTCTAACTTTACAGCAGAAATAAACATGTTTATGAGGGGGGGGGGGAGTTATATAACTCACTCATTTCAAATTTCATAAAGGCTTAAAGTTATGAATAATTGAGGGCGTGGCTGCTTTGAGTGACAGGTGGATGCCATCACAGCTACCTGTCTGCTCAGCGTCACCTCAGCTGATTCAGTCAGTGATGGTGATCTCTCTGTGCGTGTGGTGTTGGTTGTTCTGGAGGACCTTTTGTGTAAATATCAGACAGGTAACTTGACATGTTGTAGGTAAACTGGCTAACAGAACGCAAGGAAGTCTGGCTCTCTAAATTCTATAGGAAAAGAGAGTGTAGAGTCGTCACCTCAAACACAGTATGAGCCAAAATGTAAATACTGAGCATTTTAAAAGGTGGATATAGCACATCAGCACACACTTGAAAATAAAAATGACTTTCATATTGTGATTCACTGGGTTATTACACTGAATCAGAACTTCCAACAAGTAAAAGCAGATGCTTTGTTCTGGGCATATTACCCATTTCAAATTATGATAATACAGCTTAAATGCTCTGATGTTTCCCCGAGCCTGTTTATTTAGCATGATCTGAATGTTGACTTTTTATCCGTCCTGGTTACTGAGGCTCAGCTCTGACATTTTAATCAACAAATGGAAAGTATTTTTTTATTAAACTATTACTTGGAAAAATGAGAAAAATAGACACACAAGACGACACGTGAACAAGTCATCAAGTCATTTATAGATGTTTTGGAAAGAGACGATGAACAAGTGGAAAATATGCTGTTTTTCTACCCTGATAAGTACAGAACTGTCCTCAACTACAGGTCAGATGAACATAAATATTCACATGGATATCCCTTTTATATCATCTGTATCATCTGACGTGATCATCAGGTCAAAATGTATCAGAGACCAGTTCTATGAGTTATATAGAATATTTCATAGTTTCAAGACAGACTGAGTCAAACTCTGGGGCCTGATGATGTTTCATCTGTCTCCCTATCATTTAAATTAAATACCCATTAGGAGAAGGTCATTGTACCAATTACAGCCAGTTACCTTTTGTACCAATAATTACATGATAATCAACTGCTACTGCTTTTAATTGACAGTAGATTTCTCAGAATTAACAATGCCCAGCTCATGTAATATATACAATTAACTATGTCTAGAGATAATTCAATTATCTAACATTAATGTAGTTTATATTCAGGAGTTCTGCTTTCCTCCATCAAACCCTTTGACTTATCAAGAACAAGATAAAGTTTTATATAAACTGATTGTATTGAGCAGTGTGATTAAAGAGCGTTTCTACTGAATATTTGTCTGAAGACCAATAATAAATGAAATTATCCAATAAACTTTAAAACTGATCTCATTCCAGTCAATAGTTCTTTTTGGTAAAAAATAACAGGGTTTACTGCATGATTTTGATTGGCTAGCCACACATTCATTCAACCCTCCCCAGTCAGTCCAATGACCAATCACACTAGACGAGTCCTAGTTGAACAGTGGCCTCATGAGAACTAATATTATTTTATTTCATTTCAATTTTCATAACAAATAGTAAATGTTTAGAATAAAAACTGACAGAATAAACAAAAGCAAGTTTAAATTTCATAATAATGAGATAATAATTATGAGATTTATTTATTCATGTATTTAATTATTACTTCACCTGTGTTGGGGATTGAATAATGTGGGCTTCTGGGTAATTGAAATGTAAGGGTTCATTCATGAATGTGCCTGTGGTCAAAAACCATTTACTCATTTTATGACATTTCAATTATGTTTTACATGAATCATTTATTGAAGCAGCAGAATTTTGTAAAACTAATTGACTATCAATATTGGCTTATATTTGTGATTATTTGTGTAATTATTTGATTAATCAGGTAACATAATGCCCAAAACTTCAGATATCTTTACACCAAACAGCCAAAGATTCAATGTACAGATCAGATACAACAGAGGACGGCAGCAGAGCCTCAGAAGAAGAAGCTGAAAGAAGCTGGAACCAGAGAACATTTGGTATTGACTTGAAAAATTACTTTAAACATTTCAGCCCCCAGGGACAAAACATATGAGGGCCATTCTGATGATGCTGTAACTTTTACATGTGCTTAAGACAACTTCTTACATCTGGAATGAGCCGTGTGCAGGACTGGCTTGCTAAATCAGATCAGAGTGGAAGTAAGTCACAAGTCTTAACTCTCAAGTCTCAAGTCCCTCTGTTTAGACACAAGCAAGTCATGAAGAGATGGATGGCTCAATGAGACAGGGCTCACAGTGATTCCATGGAGACAAACAGCAAATCCTGACCCTGTACGTCATTTCAACAAAAAATAAATATCTACAAAAATAAAAGTATTATCGTTATATCATTTAGATTCAGTCTTTGTACATTACATTAGGCCTACAGGACAGCAGACCAAGGAACGCCGAGACTTTAAATATATATTAGTTTTACTGGATATCATGGAGCTTATATGGAGCTTGGTCTTACCTCTGAAGTGACTGAGTTGATGCTGGTGCCATCCGAGAGCCCGTTCCTGCGATACATGCTCACAGAGGGACTGGTGGGACGCACAGGTCAGGGCCTTTAGCTGGGGGGCACACATAACCTCTCATCCATACCTGAGGACAGAGGACACATTTCATTTCCCATTACTTCACTTTAAAGTTACAAAAAAAGGTCTTCCACTGTTTGACAGTATCAATATTAACATTTTCTTCATGTGCTTGTATTAGCACTTGACTGAAGTCATGCATGTGATGCTTATGTGGTAAAGTATTTACACCCAATATGCTGCACCATGTTTTCTGGCTGCACCCTTACTTCAATAAGAAATTTTCCAGATGTGCATTTCACCTTTGCTGTTCCTCATTCGTCTTTTCTGCAACTAAGCAACTTCAGGGTAAATAGAGCATGGAGGGAGATTATTTCTGATACAGATCTGAAACACTTGGTCCAAGATCATTTTTGTTGTAAAGCTCCATCTTTTCCTCTTTTCCTGTGTTTTATTTGAAGTGTTGACCCATAAGAAGATATATTTATGGTTCTAAGAACCAAAAACCATCTCAGTGTAGTTTTACATCTCCTCTCTCAGGCTTCTCTCTGGAGCTCTAGTAACAACAGGTCAGTGAGCCAATCAGAGGAGAGGAACGTGTACCATGGAGGCTTAGTCCTGGCTGCGGCGGGTTAAAGTCCAGCCCAGTAGCCCCTGTCACTCTCCCTGACTTTCCTGTCCCTCTCTCACTGTGGCTGTCAGAATAGAGACAAAAATGCTCAAAAAAATACCTATAAAAACTAGAATCACCACCTTGTGGTTGTTTCCTCCACCAACAAGTCAAGGACAGGAAATATGGTCACTGTCTCTCCTTCCTGAGTTAAAGTGTTGAATAATGACCAGAGGGTTTTTTGCAGAACATTATGATGTCACAGTGAAGTTGACCTTTGACCATTTGGATATAAAATGTCATCACATCATTTTATCCTGTTAGACATTTGATTTCAATTGTGTCATAATTAGTGAATAAAGTTGTGAGTTATAGCCAAAAACGTGTTTTGTGAGGTCACAGTGACCTTGACCTTTGACCTTTGACCACCAAAATCTAATCAGTTTATCTTTGAGTCCAAGTGAATGTTTGTCCAAAATTTGAAGAACTTCCATTACTGAGATATCGCATCCATGAGAATGGGGTGGACGGACAGACAACCCAAAACGAGTATGTCTCTGGCTCTGATTGTTGCCGGCATGGAGCTATGAAAAACAAAAGAAGAGAGGCTCTAATTCTCTATTCTGATTGGCCGACTGTTTTCTTGGTGATCCAATAAAAAATTATATACATTTCAGGTAAACACTCAGAGAAACCAAATCCTGCAAGGTTTGGATGGTGGGTCCAGGTGGGCGCGGCTTGAGGCATGGATGATGATGGTGACAGCTTTGTTGTGACATCACAAAGTTCCAGAAGTCCTGACGGCTGGTTTTAAGGCTCAGTTTCTGAATACAGGCTGTGTGCATTTCTCTGTGGACTGAGGCTTTGATACTTTCACAGTATTAATATAGAACCTAGACCTGATCTATAATCACACTACACATGGACAGAGACCTTTAGACTGGATGGAGCTTGAAATGGAAAAGGTATTAGTGTGGATGTAGCCTTTACCCTTGGGCCAACTATGCATTCTAACACAGAGGAGTCAGTCTGACTGTCTGACAATATAACATGTGAAGAATAACTATGAGGCCTAGAAATTAAAACTGTTAATGAACATGTAGCCTGTCACTTGGTCCTAAAAGACTGGTTATAATTACAGACTGAAGTTTCAGTTCAGCCTTGAGTCTCAGTCGTGAGGATACACAGAAAAAGACATCTACACCCACACACTGATGAATGAGAAGAGGCAGATTTGAGACACAAACATGAACATATGTAACGTGTCTGTTTGTTTACCTTGACGAAAAACTGCATACATGGTGCACAAGGAGTCACACATGTGAGCGGACAGTGTGCAGAACCTGGACTTATTGTACAATATGAATCAGATAAGAGCAGCGTCACAAACAGAGGCTGAGATTATCTCTAATGTGCAGCTGAAATGCTGCACATGTAGAGAACCTCACAGTCACACATGATACCATCCAACACCTGGAAACCCAGACCGAACACCACTCTCTCACATGCATACAGCAGGGTTAGTGTCATTTACTGACTCACATCAGTGGCTCTGAATGCTGCAGTTCCTCGTGCTCAGAATTCAGCTGTGTTCATTGTTTTTTACTGTCTGTGCCCTTCAACTGTTACAGCAGGAAGTCTCAAAGATGGACTCCACTGGTTTTACATATATCACTTAGTCACAGTGGGTACCATCACCCAGCCTATGAAAACAGCTGTCTAATGTCTTCTGTATGCCTGAGGATGTGATCATGATGTCTTCTCAGCTTCACGGCCCGCATCACAAACTGGCAGTGTGGAGGTCATGAGGACGGGGGGGGGGGGGGTGAGACTGAGCTGCATCATGGACATAGAACTGGATCAGGATCTTTCATCCTCTGCTGCTCTAATTCTGATTTTTTAAAAACCTGTCCCCAAATTTACAGAAGTCAGCAAAGTATCCCCAACATGAATCTATCAAATACCTGTGTTCATCGTATTAAGGTTAAACTCTGATAACAAAAGCAGTGGGTTCAGCATTTTTAAGCTATTCTGCATCAGCAGATATTTTTTATTACTGTATCTCCATCTCTCTCCATGTTTCACCGTATGTTGTATTACAACCATTAGCTCAGCATAAAGGACACAAATATGGTTGTTGGTAACATTATAAAACCCTGGGACTGGCTCTAGGCTGGTGCCTGCCACACTCTCTCACGCCCCTGTCAGACAAAGAAGACAGAGATTCTGGTTGAACTCCAAAATTAGCCTCACCCCTCATCGTCTTTCACCCTTTACAGTGAAAGCAGCAGTTTAATGGAGGAGAGGAGAGACCAGACCTCTGTTCCTCTCTGGGAGGCAAAACATACACTACTTCAACTATAAATATACAGCAGTAGCCTAAATCAGCTGTTTATTACTGTCTGTACCTACAGCTAGTCTGCCACACCAGGGATCAGCACACCCAGCACCCTGACCCTGCCTGTTGCCCGGCTCACATCACACCACAACCCGATTTCTGTCCCTGCAGGTGGTGGGCCCAAAGGGAGGTGTCTCCATGTCATTTCTTCAGGCTGTGCCAGACTGGACCCCGAGGGCCAAGGCTGGGTGACCAGACACTCGTTGGCAAGCTCCCCTCCCAGGTCTGGCTCCAGGAGGGTGTCCCTAAACAGGGCGAGGTGACACCAACTCAAAGATCACCCTCCACCTGGTCGCTGTTGAATCGCTCTTAGTCTGGTTTCTCCCCCTGGGGCTAATACCCCTGATGACAGAGCTCAAGTCAGTTTTTGTGGCTGTGATGATCACTGCTCTGCAGAGGAAAGTGAGACCAGACGGAACTTTACACGAAACAGACAAGAACTCCGACTCCGAAAGATACCGACCTGATCTGTTTAACTCAGACTGGTGAAGCCTCAGATCAGCTTTGACTGAACACAGAACCAGGGGCCAGTTGCAAAAAACACCTTAGGTTTTCCACCTAAGTAAGGCACTTAAGGGTTAATTTCTCCTTCACTGAGGGTGTTGAACAGAATCTTTTAAAATGGTTTCCTTAGTTAAGAAAAAAAGGCATTTGCAGCAGTGATACAGATTTTACAGCAGTAAAATTGTACTGTTTCCATGGAGATCATTGATATACTGCCATTAGCACTTGTGATACCTGTTAAGACCTCATTAAAGAAGTGTGCTGCTATCTCATCCTCCTGTTGTATCAGAGTTACCTTTAGTTTTTCCCTTACTTTGGTCGCTAAGGTCTTTTGTGCAACGGTTTAACTGATTTTAAGTGATTCTTTAATAAGCTTAAGATAAGGAGAAAACCTTAAATATTTAAGTAAACATGGTAAGGAAACCTTAAGGTGAAGACTTAGGTTGTTTTGTGCCACTGTTTTTATTTTAAGGAAACCTTAACTCAGACTTTAAGGAAAATCTTAACTTAAGGTGTTTTGTGCAACCGGCTCCAGGACTGTGGATTTTGTTCCTCATCTCTGACATTAGAATCCTGTTAAAGAGGATTTCTGCAGGTCCAGTCTAGACAAGAGGACTAACTGTGCCAACCAACAAGAACTCTCCAATGCTCATATGGGCATGTGAGTATTGTTTTAACACCTATCCTTCAATACAATGCTTCCCAGATTTATTCTACAGCATCCCAGATGTGCTTTTGAAGGGGATGAAACTAAAACTCTTATCATTGTGAAAATGACGAGCACAAAAAGTTTTAAAGATAATCAGTGTATGTAAAAACATCTGTTTTACTAAATGTTTGTAACTAATGAATCACATTAGTCACATGATGACAAACATGTCCACAACATTTCTACTACTTTAAATAAAAAAAAGGCAAGGAAACAGCTGCTGCTTCATAAATAATCTCAGCTCATAGGTTTACAGCAGAAGATGGTAAATTACTGTTATTACTGTAATTAATGGAGGCACCTTAATTAATGAGGGCAACTGCTGTGCATCAGAAACTGAGGACTGCAGATGAAACACAGAGGTCAGAGTTCAGCTCAGAAAACAAGCTGTTTCTAGCTCAATGCTCCAAGTGAATCAGACTAGTGACATTATCCTGAAGCAGCTCGTGGCTCATGGTAAATACAATATCAAATGTAGCACCTAGATATTTGCTATTTTCTGTGAAGAACTTGACCATTACATCATGCACTTGCAGTGTGGGTAGATCTGTACTTTAAAAAGTTGGATTTTAATGTATAATCAATAACAATTAATCAATAATCTATCTAAGCTCCTGAACACAGACACCGACAGTGTTAACAGAACACATGAATACTGACACATGAGAAAAGCTGAGCTCCCTGAACACTAGCACACACACGTGGCCACTAGAGGGCAGCACACACCAACATTAAACTTCCAACCACTGCATTAGACCTACACTGAGTCCAGGACCACACTGCA